CAACTTTAAGTAACATATTTTTATATACTAGTAGTCTCAGGGAACCAATATGAATTTAGGGAAAATAGGACATGGAACCAACTGAATACTTGAATTATTCGGTTTTCCTGCCATGAATCATACAGTACAAAGAGAGATCGTTTCCAGGATAAAGAAATGGATGTCAAAATGATATCAGTAGCTCGATCAGTTGGTTGTTGGTTGGTTGGTTGATTAAATGGTTGGTTATTTGTTGGTTTGTTGATGGATTAGTTGGCTGGTTGATTTGTTGGTTGGTTGGTTGATTAGTTGGCTAGCTGGTTGGTTGTTTAGTTGGTTGGTTGATTGATTAAATGGTTGGTTGTTTTGTTGGTTTGTTGATTGATTAGTTGGTTTGTTGTTGGTTTAAGCTGAGACTAATATAAAATAGTATCAGGTAGGTGAGGCCCATCCTTGGCCAAAGAGTCTTTCATTGGATTACATGCTCTTCTATGAAAGCAGTGAAGGACCGATCTTGAAGGATGAGTGAGGCCATGTGATGCCACTTTACCTAGTCTCCCCTACCTCACTATCTACATGTAGGTATATTACCACCACATACTCTGAAATTCTCATTATGCCATCTTATGCATCCTTGGTCCAAGGGTATTTCACTTCTTTCATGAGCATAAATGAAGCCCTTTGAAGAAGGATGATCTTATGTTCTATCGTATCTTATTCTTATATCGTCCCCGACCGCCCCCCCCCCCGATCGCAACTTGTTTTGTCTTTCAACCTTTTTTACTATTTTTACCTTCCATCATAACTTCGTATCCCTCTCCATATTCAATCGTCCATACCGTGCGTCCATTATCTCATTCTCTCGATAGGCAGACCTCCCATAGCAAACTTCCCATTATATACTACCTTATCTTCTAGGTCAATCCAGGTTTGTACCATACGATTATTAACAGGCATACATCCCTTACGCCCCACGTCTAGGAGTTTGCAATTGACAACCCTAACTTCCCGTTACATTACGTGTTAACGCCAATTAAAAATGTATATTTGCAAAAGTTTTAAAGTGAAAACGAAAGCTTAAAACATCAATTTACTTCATATTCAAAACCTCAATTTTCAATTTTTTAACAAAGCTCCCGATTTGAAATGCCATTGGAATTGGATGAATTTTTCTGTCCACAAATTGATCTCAAAAGTTGGACAATTTAGTTTTCCATTTGAAAAATATCTCCCGAGTATATATTTTACTTAGTATATCATTTAGGCGAATTATTGTTCATAAAGTAAGATAGATCTAGATATTTATATTACTCCCTAATGTAATGTATTTCAATTGTACATGTCATAATGATTCGATTATTTGATTTTCAAAAACACCGAGTATTTATTTTTTAAAGTATATTGCTTTTGTATAGACTATAAAATAGATAAAACTGAACTACTGAAACGATTATTACTTGCTCGTTGATTTTTTATTTGTTAATATATTCCCACACCCCAATATCAAATAAACTTATCATTATCCGAGAATTCTGTTAATCCGCCAAAACTTTTTACTCCAGTAGAAAATGTGCGTCTGTAAAGACCACGTCATTGAACTATGGGATAAACCTATATCCTATAGTCGATGCGGGAGGAGATATCATATTTTTATTAGCCTTACCTCTCCATATGCCGATCTCTACTCGTGGCAAGGGTGGATATCCTGAAGTGTCAATTGTATTTACCGAGTAAATTGTGTGTTCGCAATCTTAACAATCCACGTACTTTATTATTGGGCATGTATGTGCTTCAGACTTCACTGCATCGCGATTTATATCCTCAGTCTGTCAGTTCTGACTTTTGTCCTCATAAAATGCCGTTAACTTAGATTTATATTCATTTTCGAACAAAAAGTAGGTTTGCTTTTATTGAGTGTTTCATGTTATACTGCTGAGTTAAAGTGGAATGTACTGCACCTTTGCCTTACACTAACAGTAAACCCTGAGTTTGTTTCTGAAATCCAACACTTCTTTAGTCAAGGTCATCGTTTCTGCTAGCAAAATTACATCGAGATCTAGGCTACTCAGGGTTACCAGTCAGATATGTGGAGCCAACCGCTCGATTCCTGTATGCATGAACAGTAAATGGAATTAGACTTGCTTCAAGACCATAGAACCCTCCCCGATCTACAACGGGTAGGTGTGTTGATGAAACATGTTGGGGCGGGGGATCCACTGTCTTGAGGCAAGACTAAATGGAACACATTTTAACGATAAGACTAGTCTCAATACAAGTTTACTATCCATGTATCTGGAAATACATTTCGCCCCATGAGAATAAAAATGTGCCAACTCACATTGTTGTGAAACTGAGAAATCAATTTTTGTAAATAATTTTGTAAATAATTACCTGAACTTAAGAAGCAATGACCTTATTCCTTAAAAGTGTTACCAACTGCACTTTTCTTATAGATTCATTTTTATTTAAAACTCCCATTTTTGCTATTTTCAGTTGAATTTTCGGACATGAGTTTTAAAAAGGAAAGTAAGAAAAAAACAAATACAAAGGCTCCAGCATATCTATGATTAACCAATCAGGATTGCCACGACTTTGTACTTAAATTTTTTCATTTGTGTTTTTCATGTGGGTTATAGAAATTTAAAGGTATCACGTACTACAACAGAGCGTGTCTATCAAACAGCAGGACGTTTTGGTTAAAACCATTAGTTATCCGTTAATTGTATGACTGTTCGCCCTGATTCTCCAGTCAGCTTTTGGTGGAATAATACTCCTGTGTCTGCGGTGAATATTCCCTGAAGCACAATCCAACCAATGAGAGTATTAATAGTATCATATTCCTGTAAACTAACAAGGGTATCGTGGCATTCTTAGAACCTGCTAACTGACTGATCGACTCATACAATGTTACTTAATGTTGTATCAACTATCGTATATCAACATTCCTGAACACCAGATTAACTTTATAAGTTGTCGATGATTGTTCCACCCCAACCCTTTTAGCGAGGTTACTTGCCGACATAGTGTTTTTTTAGTTATTTTTTCATTGTAAATAAAATCTGTAATGATTTAAGCGACGTTGCTTTTTTGATGAATACAATCATTTAACAATTCAACAATCGCATTCCCTTTACTGAGCTGTAATTCTCTTGTATAAAACGTTTCCTGTACTAAAGGTTCAATATTTATATATCTTGCAGATGAATTAAATGGCGTTCAAACCGAGCCTTTATTTAAAATACTTTTTATGATGAAAATTATTAAACATGCTATAAAATACTCACTGGCCATTGTATCCATAGATTGATACACATAGCTCAACATATACAGTGTGTTATAACTCCATTCAGTTGCAAATGTTAATGATTTTAATTCCAGAATTCACGCCGGTAAACTTCAGCTGGTAAATCTATTTACCTGTACATTTGCAGTGGAGTGAAATCGGAGGGCGACCATTCAAATGAATATCACTAAAACATTGTACACGCTTTAATTATTTATACAGGATCCCATGTACAGGGTGCGTCATGACATTCCCCCAAGTTCGCCATTCTGATACTCATAGCATCTTTCTGTTTCCGACCTGAAACATCATCTCAGAGCTGAGAAGAAATGAGATGTCATGGATCATCATGATGCCATTCGCAGCCAATTCTGATTATATGTATGGTGTTAAAATTGTATCAAATTTGACATCTTATATTTATGTGGTATCTGTAACACAAAAAATATATGTATGTTCATCACATGGATTACTTAATTCTTATGCTTTAATTCCCGTTTTTTGGCAATACCTGTTACATGTCTACATGATTGAAAGACGTTTCGTCTTCCATTGGCTGAATTATGGACTTCTCCAGTCACTTCAAGTTTTGAAAAGTTTGAGGATTTCAGAAGTAACTGAAGAAACCAGCCAATGGTAGACGGAACTTAACGTCTTTAAATCATGTAGGTATAACAGTTAGTGTCAAAACAGTGAATTAATATGTAATATTATTCCTACCTATTGAACTTATTTACAAATCTTATTTAATTCTTGACTTGGCAAATATTGCTATGATTGATCACTGTGAAGAGATCTTAAACTCGTGAATGTTTCCTAGTTACTACATTAGTCCATTTTGCTTGATCTTACATGGCAGCAACTATTTGCATTATTAAAAAAAGAGGAGGAGATCTTAAAATACTCCATTCTATTATTTATTGCCCTGGGTTCATGTTTTCACTGAAACTTTTCTTTCAAAGTCTTTTCTTTTTGAACGTGACAAATATTTTCATAATTTTATGTAGCGTAAAATGTACTGTATGATCATGTAAACACCAATCCTGGTGGCTAGAATAAACAATAATAGTATCCATCAAATGGTATAAAGCAGTGTACAGGTGTGGAAACTGTTGAGCTTAATAAAAGTTGAACAGGCTCTCATATGATATATAACATATTGGTGTAAGCTACCTGACCTTTTGGATTGATCAAGATCTGGAGTCACAGCAGCATGATAAACATCGCATGGTGAATATTGCAAATAGTAAAATGTTCTGGTTGGACGGTTTCAATTTATATTTTATTTTATAGTTTTGATTGATTAATGAATAATTGTTCAATGAATATTCATCGAAATTAGTTTTCCGAACAAACATATTTCATCTGATAAAGGGTCAAATGCGTGTTACTTGACCATGCAGCCTTCATTTATAATTATCATGAAAAGTCAATATTATTAATATAATTGCAAAATACCCAGTGACAGTATTCTAATTATATTGTTTAAACACTAAATGTATATCGCCTAACAATAAATATCTGACAGACAATAGATAATTTCTCAGGTAAATTATTAAGGCTGTCATCTCTAAAAGCAGATGATCCAGACAAATATTCGATCCGTTCGGGGTACTACATTCACTTTTATTTCTGCCTGAAACTGTATATACTATAACCTTTTATCATCAGAAGACTATGTTACCGAAAGCGGTCGGGATTTATCATGGCATACCCTATTAATAAACTGGAAACTCCATCACAGTATTATAATAATTTATTTGATCCATGTGATTTACATAATATAAAGGTACATAAAATCATAAAGGAGCCCAACGATGTCTAGCTACAAGAGACTTGTTGCAAACAGACTTGCGATGTTCCATTTATATTTGGAGCGTCCGATTAGGAAATATATGAAATGATTGAAATAATATAAAAATAATAGTCATAATAAATATAAATGTATAGTTGAGTGTCTTTGTGTTCTCAGATACAGGTAGTTTTTAAGTGTTCATGCATACATTTCACGTTGGGACAGTCAGCTCAACAGTGACGAGTGCCAACAGCTGGGCATCAACGAATCAATTGCAACTCTATGGTGAATGAGGTATACTTTTGTTTTCTCAAACATGTTTCTACACCATAGCCGTTTGGTGGTTGGGAATTTGTACATTCGAAAAATTCATTCTATCTTCAGACCAAGGTGTTATACTTTGCATGGCATTCAGAGACGAATTGTTCAGACAGACAGGATCTCGATTCACAGTTGTTTCGTACAGTGTATTGCTGTCGTTGGTGATACCAGCCATGAAGCGTTTTGCAGCTTGTCTTTCCGCCTCGCGCTCTTCCGCCGTTTGGCGTCTGAAATGACAAAATATATCGATGCTACATTTGCTTTAAACATGGGCTCCACAAAAAATGCGTGCCAAAACGAATATGTAAATATTGATTTAAGCTCAATTTTTTTAAGTGAACGATACCTTGATCTACATTCGAAAGATGCCCCTGTGCAAATAGTCATTAATATGACCCTAGAATAATAAACCTACTATTCATTTCGTATTATCCTAAAAACCGACTTCGTACAAAGGCATAACGGACAACCCAAAGACACAACCAGGTAAATTCCCAGGGGTCCACAGGGGTAAACGAGATGTACTGTCAGCTAAAAAACTGTCTTTGGACGGCTATATATTCATATTATCAACATAACTTAATTTTCAATTAAATTTAAAAATGCCTCTGGAACTCAGCAAATACTCCTATTTGTTCCCGATGTTTAAACTTATCATTTTGAGGGTTGGAATTGTTTACAAATTACTTAAATGGGTACATCATTTCAGGGCTTGAATAATTTGGAGAATTCAGTAATTTGATTCCATCAAAAAACTACAAAAATTGCATCCAGGCCATTCGTCAATGTGATATATTGGAATTATTGTCCAATTATTTCAAATTGAATTTCTAATGATATGTTTTATGGCAATTAAGCTGTCTCATTTAATACGTAGATAGCCCATTTGTTAAATCAAATATCATTAAGCCTTTTAAAATAATGATTGGAATAGAAAACATGAACTACAAATACATTAAGGAAACATAATGAGGTTGAGTTAATGCCATTATCTTCAAATAATAAGTTATTATCATCATTTGAAATATAATTGTGTGTCTCAAAAACTGTTCGAAAATTGCATTCCTACATCTAAGATAACTAGCATACTCGAACGTGTAAATTACAGTATCTGCAAAATTGATTTTGACTGTGACTTCTCATTCTGATCTATGAAGGTCCCTCTCATGATCTTATGGGTGATTTTTTATAATCCGCGGTGTAGTGCATTGGTTAACACAGACTAAGAGGAATAAAAAAATGTGTCTATGTGTTTCTTTGTCTGTACATGTGTTTCTGTTTTATTCAACGACTTCAATGCCGATTTAAATTGCTGAGTTTTTGATAATAGATTCGGAGCCAATGGCAAAACAAGCTCGTCAAAATGCAGCTGCTAAATGTGGGAACATCTAAATATAAATGATCTTATCTGCATAACAAATTACCATATATCGTTGGAACGTTGGGTTCATGTGAAACTTATTGTTGATGTAAGCATGTGAGAATACAAGTATTGCCGGCATCTAAAGGGCTAACCACCAAACCGCACAAGTGAGTACCAGGTACTCTTTCAAACAAGTATGCGTCTTTCTTTTAGCTGACTTTCATATTTCATTTTTTGTTGGTGATTGCATGGGTGAATTAATAAACGCAAGGAGCACACGCGTCTCGAACTCGCAACCTCGTGGTTACGGCCCCAATCTGCATATATGAAAATAGATTGGTTTTTAGAAATGCCAGGAATTGCCCCCCGTCCTTCTTTAAGGACCTTATTGTCTCTGACTTTAAGTTAATAAGAAAAGTGGATTGAAGTGGGTCAATGCATAAACCAAACAAGGCATTAACATGCAAAATGTTACTACCTGCCATTTGTTACAGACACCGACCGCCGAACACCCCGCCGAACATCGAACACCAACTGATGAATGCCGCACACCGTTCACAAAAAGTTTGTGACTAACAACATGTCACAACTTGTGGTGGTGACATGATAAAAGGGTTTAGGGTGTCTTGTTCAAACGTCTTTTCGCCATTCTAAAAAGTCTCTCGTATTGGATAACAGAGGTGGACCACCTTACTAGTGATATTTCTGATAATATCAACGGATTGTGTTCCAGTGACTCACCTCCATTTCGTTCTTCTGTTCTGGAACCACGTCTTCACTTGAGAGTCGGACATCTTCAGTGACTTTGCAAGTGACGATCTCTCTGCAGATGCGAGGTATTTCTGGCCGTGGAATCGCTTCTCCAACTCCATGATCTGTATGCGCGTGAACGATGTTCTTGGCTTCTTGCGCTTTGGGGGTGTACGGTTTTGGTAGGGATGTCCAACTCGTCTCTGTACTGAAAGCACAATTTTGAGAGTTTGTTTATATAAGCCTTGGTTGAAATCAATTTAAAAGTTGCCGAATTACAGGTAGACAAGAATGAGTTGCTGAAACTTTTCCATTTACGCACTTCTGATCTTGAAAATGAATCTCGGAAAAATGAAGTATTAAAACAGGAATATTGGAACGTTAAAGTTTCGGAAAATATAGCAACATGGCTTATGTACATGTATTTTAATCTTATGTTGACCATTTATAATCGAATAATAATTCTAATTTAATCAACACAAGTGAGGGATCAACACAACAGTAGTATTTCTACCCCATCCGAAGATAAATAAAAAGTGCCCTTTGGGTGATGTGAATATAGCATTCTAAGCGACAAGTGCAATCAATTTAACGCAAGGTGGCAGACAATAGCTTGTATTACATAAAGTGACGTGATAATTGTTTGTTTACAAACATCTATTTTATACATTACAACAATAGTTAATTGCTCTTTGATTGTATAGTCAATGAGTTCCAAATTAAAAGGGTTGTAACAGATGCCGAGGGACTACATAGATCAAGATTAGAGAATTGCCTGCCTAGCTACCACATGTTCACAAATATGGTGGTCATTTTTCAATACACATCTGTATATGCGATTTCAACCTGTGCATCGGATGACATATGGTTTAAGATCACGTTCAGGACAAAGGATTAAAATCAAGTTATGCTAATGATGGTTACATCATGTCGGCTTCAGCTAGAACCCATTGACCTTCAGATATATTAATTTTTGAATGATTGATTCATCGGATATGCAAAATAACATTTTTCAGATTTACATTTTTACAACTTACATTTTACAATCGCAGTGAATTTACCGGGGGACGCGATTAGCCCATTGCATAACAATATTAATGATCTTCCCAATTGTCGGTGTCTTTAATTATTTCAATATGGTCCCGAGTCGACTGAGATTAAATCATGATTTGTTTCTATTGCATAGTCTGGCACAAATAGCTAGATATCAATATAATTATCCAACCGCCCTGTTTTATAGCGCACCAACCCCAGTTCTGACCCCCTTTCAATATTTCCTTGAATAAAATAATATTTTTGAAATTAAACCATTTTGGTTAAAAAGTGATCTAATTGAAATGAAATAAAAAGCTCGCCGTCGTTTGCCATAAGGGGCACCTCGTGTTGCAAGTGAAAAGAGTTTCACTTAGCACTAGCAGCAGGAATTACACTATAGACAATTAAAAAACTCTAAAGCTTCTTAGTGGAAGGCGTTTTACAAAATCGGGTATCCTGACTACACTTTCATACACTTGTTTTTTCTAAAACGCCTTTCATGCACTTTTACGGAAAAAGTTTAGCCCACCATCAAATCACAAATTCGATTGACAAGAATATCTATGACATTGCAAAATATAGTATCATCATATTTTGTATGTAAATAATTATTATGAACGTATAAAATGAAATTTGTGCCTTAATTTATAGCCTCGATGTTTTTTTGCAGGAAATTAATATTAATTTCGTTCAGGACTAGGGATATTCGCATTTTTTTAAAGACAGGGGTCTCACCCGGGGGGTGTCACATTGGGAATTTAGGCAATATTGAAATGTGGCCTCACCTGCAATACTTGCGTTCACATCATGGTTGGCGTTGTCCAGGGTTGGCGTATAATTTCCCAATACTCCATGGTTTGGTGACATAGCGCCCCCTATTGTAAAGCTCCTAGGGGCTGGGAGATTGTAGCCCAAAATGCCATGACTAGAGTGTGAATGGAGATGCTGCAGGCCGTTATAATCGACCTCTACTTTTGGCAAAACTGGAAGTGCATTGTGCATTGCATATGGTTTAAAAGTGTCCCTTGATCTATTCAGGGGGAACAATGATGGGGCGAACCCCGGTAGTGAGCTCGGGTGACAGCCGCTTGGTGGCGTCGGAGGTCCGCTCACGGTTCCTTCGCTAGACGTCCGCTCACCCGATGTATCATTTTGTTCGTCATCTAGATGACCAAGAATAGCTGATATTCCGAAAGAAAGTTTTCTGTTCACACCAGATGCAGTCGATGCGGTCTCTAAACTGTGGTTACTTGGGGTTGAGCTCCTTGAAATAGTACTCCGAACCTCGTCCGTATCACTGCGACAGTCCTCCATTCTTCTGCTTAAATTGTGCAATGTCTAATTCCTTTTTAGCATCTAAATGTTGATATTATCTTGCCTAGTTGTAGTCCAGGGAATAACACTTCGTAGAATACAAACTTACAGAAATAAAGGACCGTGAGGTCGAGTGTCAAAATTATGAATGAATGAACGGGGAAGCAAACCGTTTTATAATGATTTAACCCCTATCAGAACTAATTTGTCCAATTCCCATCTGGGATGAAATAATTATAGCTATCATTGCTATGATAGTCATGTGCTCAAAAATTACCCTTTCATGTTCAATGTCAAACATATAAAAATGAAAATATCAATATTAAGTAACAGTGTTATCATAGTACGCTCTTGGCTAAATATATTACAATGGTATTGACTCAGAGATAACTTAAAGTAAGATGGGCGTGAACAAAAAGACTATTACATAAAAATGATACCAGGCATAACAATCAATAAAATTTAATTTAATTAATTTAAAAATAAAATTTCGATTTTTTTGTCTGAAATATATCGAAACGTATAAAACATAAGTGCAGGTTATAGTAATCTATAAAAATGGTGAAGAGTGTATTTCGGCACAAGCTGTGCCATGGCCACTAGGTAGTGGTGCCAGTGTATGATTGCATTTCAAATATATGACACTATTAACTCACTCGTGTCCATTGTCACCACTGCCAATTAATTAATAACGTTTCCTGTGGGCCTTTTAGATACACTACTCGACATATACGTTACAATTCATGAATTGATCGCACTATACCGTCCTAAAATAAGAAAATATTTCGGGAAAATTTAAATATAATATGAAAATGGAACGCTATGTATTACAGGGGTTAATAATTAAAGAGCCAAAGCCCAATCAAAACATACAGGGATTTATCGGGCCAAAAATTGATGAAGAATATATTATTGATTAAATTTTTGTTACAAACCAACAAAAGTTACAACAAACGTAATGGGTTATTTGAAGAATTAAATAACTCATGAATTATATATATTTAAAAAGTAATGGTCACAATCACGATTGTAACTTTATTCAAGGATTTCGCTTAAAATATGTAAAGGAAAAACGGGCCCCCAAAGGAAGAATTTCTTTTGACTACCGTCTACCGTCTACCGTCTAAAGGATACAAACACATCAGAAATCAAAATAATATTTTTGTGTCCTTTTGGGCATCGATCTTAGAATTTTGATATCAAAATAATTCAAATTGCATAACTATTACGTTAATTGTCATGACGAATTGTGTCACCTTGATTGTTTTATTACATATCCCTCTAGGTCCAACAGACATTTGGATTCTTATAACATTTAATAACAATTTTATTCATATTTAATTTGCATATGAGCTAATCATAGCAGGTGCTATATAACTCTTAATTAGGAGCAACGTGTGACACTTACTTTAAGTTTGTCATTTATAGAATTTTATCGTCGCCTTGAGCTATATAGTATGTAAACTATTTCAAGTATGTTCCAATTAGACATGTGTAACAAATATTGTTTTATTTTAAATGATCGTATTATTCCAAGTGGTGTAATGTTCTTAAACAGCTCGAATTATACCTGTGGGAGATTCAGACAAATGCTGATCCCGTCTTACCTTAAATTGATCGTTAGGCCTACCTTGGTTTTTGTTTGTTAAATCACGGATCCGGACTTCTTCAGGTCCGTGATTAAATCAAGATATGATATTCTTTTTTATATTTATTATCACTGTGTAGAAAATAACGCCAAATATGCGTTTCTGCATTTCGTATCAGAGAGAAAGTTTAAATGATATAGAGATTGCCTTTGTAACTGATAACCATAAGTTGAAGTTAAAAAAGTTAATTAATCAATCATTCAAAATCACAATTGAAACTGTTTGAGTTATGTTAACAACTTGAATTTAATATTTTCTAGAGGAAGGATTTGAAAAGTGTGTTTTAATTTTTTGTACATTGTACATAAATCATTTGGTAGAACTTCTTCAATGTTCTCATTGGCTATTTTAGGGTAGGGTATTGTTACAAAATCTATAACCACTCTGAAATAAAAAAAATCCATAACCACAGATAACATTCTCAAAATGACGTAACAAAATGGAAATGAAAAATGACTCTTATTAGCAAGAGACTTAAATATTATATCATTATTATATCAACTTTCACTTTTACTATTGTTTTCACATGTAATTTGATATTGCTAGAAAAGGAATATAAAACGGTACATAATGTAAAAACACACAAGCGTTTATTTTACAATTAGCCCTGTCACCCTTCCATATAATTGACTTTTTCTTTCTTTGAACATGGCGAAGTGTATAAAGCTTGACATATGCTTTGGGACCACTGAAATTCGGAGCGGTAGTTACATTACCCTAAAATTAACTACGTATCGTATAATTATTTGAATTAAATTATATTTGTATATTAAAACTGATTGAATGATCGCTTTAAGTATTCATAATTAGAAAGCAATTGACCTAAATGCCCGTCTGGGAGTTAATAAGAAACTCATTATTAGCATTATCAGGTTTTGTTCCATACCTACTGTGGTTCTTGGGAGTTATCGCCATGGAAAAGCGAACTCGATTTAAGTTTTACTCATTTAACGTTTCCCTCAATTTTTACGAAAAATTATATATCAAACCTCCACGAACACCCAGAATCCCCCCTCAGTACATAATATCCATATACAGTTTTGCTGTAAATGGACTGGTGATCTAAGGTAAAACACACCAGTTTATCGTATTTATATTAACTGTGTCGTATTTTATCGTTCTCTTATGTCACTACCTCTTATAGATCGGTTAATCTCAGGCCCGTAGCCAGGGTGCCAAAAAATTCTTTCAAAATCATGCAGTTTTTCACCATTTTGAGCACTTCTCAAGTGATTTTGGCCATTTTTTGGCCAATAATGTCAAATGTGAACCCCCTGGAAGTTTTTGAAAACTGACCCCCCCCCTGGCAAATCCTGGCTACGGGCCTGAATCTATTGGTCTGATTTGATCGTTCAGTCATTTTTAGATTAATGAACGATCAAAAAGATCAAAAATTAAACTCTAAATGTAATTGCAACATTTTTCATATCCCAGGAATTAATTAATGTCACAATCCACTGATATTTTGGAAATTAATGACATACACATTACACGTTTAAATATCAAGGTGGAACTGCGAAAATGTTCATATGCCACGTGACTCGCATCAAGTGAATTGAAAGAATGAAATATGTCGTAAAAATAATTAGAACTGTCAACGGCACATGACGAGAGATAAAATGTTGCTCTAGAACGTATAATGATGTTGTTAACAGAAGTAACACACGGTGTGGCAATGCATGTACAATGGATAAGTACACAGTATGGTATAACACTACGTACTGTATTTTGGACAAAACGGGTGAAAGAAAATGTCTACATAAATAACAGTTCCTAGAAGTGTTTAGGATCTGTGGTTAAGAACAATGGAATCTTTGTAAAATTGTCTCTTATGTGTAAAGGCCATACACCCCCATATAAAAAACTAAACTATGTTCATTTATTCCATAGTTACATGTTTCCCTTGGAAAATAAACAAATAAACATGAATAGAATTAATATTAACAAATCAGATCCCTTAACTTCAGCCCAATCCCCGTAACAGATCCCATATTAGAACTTTCCAGAGGATTGCTCTTGATTTTGACATCTTTCGTTCTATTTTAAAACTTATTCATAAGAGTTAAAAAACGTTACATGATAAATCAGATTTATCATTTTATGTTACCATCCTTGGATGATGAGAAATCCAACTTGAAAATGAATGAGTTTCAGAAAAAATTAAGGAATAAATGGGTTATTCATGCTCGTGATAAAATATGACTTTTTCGTCGAGAGAATATGCGTGACATTGACTCTAGGCTGTCGTCCTCGGTCACTGATATTTTCCTTGTATCGGCCAATATCATATTTTTCCTCGAAAAAAACATATCCCATCCCTCCCATTAGATAACCTCTATTTATATTGCACCATAATGCACTGATATGGAAATACATTTTGCAACGTCCGTATCTGAGTCAATCATTTTACAGGCGGCTGTGCTAATAAAGAATATCTCAGTCACATTGTAAAACCCATAAACTCATCTAGTCTCTCGGGACTCCAACGGAACCTAGCTCCGATAGCTCCCCTTTCATTGTTTTGTCTTCCATCGTTCCAAAGGTCGTTGCGTCAATAATATCACATTTAATTCCCATTACACGACGGAACAATTAATTTCAGCTTAATAATTTGGAATCCCTAAAGAAGAAGAAAATTGATTTTGTCTCTTATGTAGCCCATGTGTCATTTGGGGTTTCGTCAGGTCATCTCATTCTTTGTGCATGGTTTTTACACCATGCTTTGAATCGTGACACCAACATTTTAGCTTCATTATAAAATGTAATAATTCCCAATTACTTAATTAACCGTCTGCTCATCTTATATCGTGCAATGTACTCGTACAATTGATACCTCAGTCATATTTGATCACATTGCTCTGATTTTAGAAACGGCGCAAGGTCGAGACGTTTTTCAGCCAAAATGGGTTAACCGTACGCCGTACGGCCTCCGAGAGCTATCGGCAAATATCGGCCGATCTTTAGACGTCCTACGACGAGTCGGCGGGATATTTTTATCGCGGAGATAAAAGTGGCCATGTCCTCCCACTTTCTGAAACTGATCGGAACATACCCAGATTGGGAAGACATCTCAAGCCTTTTATACAATTTTTCATGCCCCCAGGTGTCCTGTAGACCGCCCGATGTAAGGAAGGGTGCCGTACGACAACGACAATTTAAGGGTATATAGCCGCACGAATAGTGTTTAATTTCAACCAAACACTGCATGTTTAAATGTTTTAGACATGAAAAATCTTACAAACGTACAAATTAAAAGCTTACACATTTTGTATTGGGTTGTTAAAGCTCCTAAGATTAATGATGCTATGTTAGTTGTTTCTTTTCAAATGTTGCATAACATGATTTATAATTCACTTCATTTTCATATTCAACATCAGCTTTTATGTTTTTATGTTTAACATCATTTTTAATGATAAACCACTCAACTTGATTTATGTAACATGATGTAAATATGAGTTTCGTCAAGACTATATCGATTCGTCTGTTGTTTAAATGGTAGAATAATGTATTCCAAATATATCTGATATCTTAAAAATGCGCGATGATTGAAAAATGTAACATTAGGACTAATTATTATTGGCCAACTCCAGATTAGGCTCGTACTATACGACATCAAAGTTAGTGCTGTTTGGAATATTTTTTCACGACACTCAAATGCAAGATCAGGGTTTTGTATACAATTTCTTGTAAACAATAATTGTATACATAACGTACACAAATGAATGTCATTTTATTTTTGTGCATTATTTAAAATTTTTAAAATGCATTTTAATGTAATGTGGAAATAGGTCTAAGGGGCATAAAAGTATGCTCTCAAGTGCTTATAATTAATTCATATTTTAACAATTAATAGCGTCTATGTGCAAGGTACAGATACATATTTTTAAATAGTTTAATTTAATGTCTGTAGGTAATGTCAGTTTTGTTAAAAGTATGCGGTACTTACGATGAATGAGGAAAATTCAATTAATTCAATCAGAATATAGCAAAAAGCAAACAATACTCGACCAATTTATTTATTAAACTAGTAAACTGTTATGTAAAATAATTATGGTTAATCCCTGATCAAAGAATAATCTAATATCAACATAACGTCCATTACTTTTAGTATGTTCCAGAATCCAAATGCTCACAGTATTTTCTAGCACCATTGACAACTTTCTGCTCGTAAGTTATTAGTATTTCGAAGAATGTTCTCTCGACACGATTCAGAACTTATCAACTGAAGAAAGTAGTCCCCAAAATAAGCAAATATGTTTTCATGATGGCTGCAAATGTAAATACAAATTAATCCAAAGGCAAAAGACACAGTCACATTTGCTACGGCGACCGTAGGGTCTATCATTTCTGCGGTCGGTAATATTTCTCTTTTGTACTATAGGTTGCTGTTCAGTGTGGTGTCAGTGATATTACATCAAACTGCAGTGTTTGTATTGTGTCGTGTTCGCAGTAAATATATGACCGAAAATCGACTGTTTCCAAAGCCGCATTACCCATCAAAACTCTACAGCAGACGCAAGTCAACCGTAAGCTGACTTGCGCCTGGCGAAAGCAGTTTTCCTATGCTCGCCGCATTGTACTGATTTTAATTTATTTGCAGTCGACGAACTATTGTATTCATGATCATTCTTCTCTTAGAGATTCTACCGCTGCTGCCATCTTTATATCGGCCAAAAACTTATGCTACTTATACATGTCGGAAAATATTCAAACCAGCAGACATTTGCAGAATTTAAATACCACAAAATGACAAACATACATCAGCAAGAGAACAATTAAAACCTATGTGGATCCTCGGCGGCAACGACCTTCTGGAACATTGCTCGAGCAGCCTTCATGGAGCAGTATAATGACCATGTGCATGGGCTTTCTAATTGAAAAATTATCATCGCCGCAAATTTTATGAAATTTTCGGGGCAAAACGGTCTTCAAATAAAATTAGAATTTGAAGTTGTTCTAACTGGTGTTTTTCCTATTTCTCAATCATCGCACACTTTGATGTTCCATGTTATCAATGTGCTATGTTTTACAAATTGCGAGTGTCTTATACTCATCTAAGACTATCTTCTGGGATTTTTAGTGGTTAGAGTGGGGCAAAACGGTCCACGGGTGGGGCAAAACGGCCAAAAACGGGCAAAAAGAGAGTAAAAATTGAATAACCTCTTACATAAGGCGAGATGCTGCTAGATCAAAAAGTAGCGACCGAGAAGAAATTTCACAATTCGAGCATGTGGATTTTGAAGAGCCATCTTTTGATAGTTCAAAGATATTTCGATGGGCCACTTTGCCCCAGAGGGCCGGTTTGACCCATTTTCTCTTATATGATACATTATAGGCACTTAATTCAAACCATACTTTGTTAACAATGTTTTAAAATGCTTTTTGGCTCACACAGTGAGCCTATGGGATTGACCAGGCGTCCGTCCGTTGGTCCGTCCGTCGGTCCGTCCGTCCGTCCGTCAACATTGGCCGCACAAATTAAAACTGCTATTCGGATTGAGTCATATCCACTGTCATTTTATGCATATCCATAATGCCTATTTCACCTATCATCGCCATTTCCCAAGGTCGCCCGGTTTCCGAGAAATTGCGGATTTTGACGTCAAAAAGTCAAATTTTCTGTAAATACTAGACACTTTGTTGAAGTAGAACTTTCAAATAACTTTTAGTAGTTGGTGTATATGCAACGTATGTCCTCTGAAGATTTCTAAGCTCTTGGAATTACGGTTTTTGGTGTTTACTCTATAAAATTTGAAAAAAAGTAGGACTAGGTCATCAAACTAGGTCACACAACTATGCTATCTAAGTTTCTATCTAAGTTCGAGACTACAAATCCAAATCAATATTTTTGTTTGAAAGTCAGGATATAAATTCCTCTGAAGGTTCCAAACTGTGTGAGCACAGGACCGTGGGTCCTTCATTTTCTTTTTTTCTTGGGTTGGGGTGGGCCATGGTTAAAATAACAAAATTGTTTTTATGTGCTAAGCCGTTTTATAACATCGGTAAGCGTTCCAAGTCGTATTTATTGTACTTATTTCTAATATAGTGGAATAAAATGGGCGTTTGACACTTAGTATTGCTTGAATGATTTGGTTAGATTACCGTAATAATCCTGGGGTAATACTTTTTACAATGAGTAGGACATATTCACACCTCACGGTGCAAACAATGTTGGCATAACAAGTTATTGTGCAAACGGCAATAAATGTCAACTAGGCCAACCCCATCTGATTCTGAGCGGATAAAGCCTGGTGCCATTTCAAAACTGCAATTGTTGGCGACATTAAATACATTCATAAATAATAAATTAAATATCATGAAGTAGTAAATGTTAAAAAACACGTTGCATTGAAGCAATATGACATTGGTTCCGCAGTCTATGTTTAAATATAAACAGTAAATAGAAATTATTATATCGCTTGGTATTTCCTATGTAGATCTAAAAAGGCCGGAATGGGTGAGTTAAGCAAGATTTCGATTTTATTTTTGAAAATAGCAAGAATAAGACTTCTTATCTTGAAAGAGCGCAAAGGTGATTATCATTTTTATTGGTTGCTTGGATTATTTGATTTATTGTAAATGTTAATATACAGGGTGTCAAAAAACAACGGCACCCCCTTCTACAGCAAAAGGTCCTTATTGTTACATATCGTGTCATACCTCATTTGAAAGATAATTTAATTCTGGTGTTACTTATCAAATTTCATTAATAAAATAAAACTTTATATTAAAAAAGCTACATTGTTTCAAAGTTTGCTACCTTGGTACTTTATTTGCTGCTCTGTTACTGGTTAAAGGTCAAATCTTAAGAAAGTGGAATATGAAAGACTTAGCCCTAATTTCAACTGCACTGAACATATGGGCTCAGTTCTGAAAAACAGGGTATAGGAATTGATGGACAAAGAGCCTCTTGAAAAAAGATACAGTAAGGATGTTATTCTGAAGAATGTGAGGAAAGTGCTTAGAGGATTATGCAATGCTACACCTTTATCTGATTTTTTATTGAAATCATATCCATCCAGATAAGCTGCTTTTCAAGCAGCAACTGGTAGTCATACCAACTACTAAGAATCAGCTGTAAATCTGTAAAATTATAAGATATAAAGCTGAAATTTCTCAGGTAACTCCAGAATTAAATTGTCTTTAAAATGATATATGACACATCATGTAACATTATGTATTTTTTTGCTGTAGAGGGGGGTGCCGTTGTTTTTTGACACCCTGTATATTCAAATTGCGAGTTTTTTCAAGCTGTCATGTACGTTTCAATTTTTTCACCCAACAGAGCGAATTGCCGCTCGATGTATTAAAATATTAATACAGCACTTTTCCAAAAACATCTCTGTAATTTACTTAAACTAAATACCCTTAATACTTTAATAAGTACATCGATTTATTCACGGGAGCAATTTTCGAGAATTTGTGCATTTGTTTAATTTGTTTCGTGTATTTTCGCGATTGTCCAAATAACCTACTTAGATTTATCATATAACGTACTTCTGACCCACTTAGATGTGCACAGGCTCCAAGTTGTGTTCCTTCTACTACTGATCGTCAACAGTTGTAAATGCGCTTCGATATGTGACACCACAGCACGGATTTTAGATATCTCGTTGTCATACAAAACTAAACGAGATGATGTCACGACGGGAGTCTTAAATGATGTAAAAGAAGAACTGTTTCTTTTTGTAAAGTCACAGGACTCTATAGTTAGTGCGTTGAAAAGGAGGGCGATAGACAACCTTCATAAACCAATCGAATCGAGATTAAAGCAAAATGAAATCTTTCGAAATGAAATAGCTGCAATGAAAAAGGATCTGCCACGTTTAAAGGGGAAATATAGACTATTGCCTCAAAAGCATGACGCAAAAATCCAGGGCCATGTCGTAATGAAACTCGTTGATGCTTTCCTACTGGGCTATAATTCACTAACATGGCAACAGAAACATGAGGACATCGATATTCTTAGATCATCCAGTAAGAATTGGAAAGATGCGATAAAGAAGGGATTGGTTGATCCACCTTGCACATGTGTTAAAAATAATCTAATTGGACTGACTGTACTACAAGCAAAATTTGACAAAAATTTGGAAAAAATAGCTGGAACCTTTCGTTATACTGAATCTCTTTTTAAAACATTAATCGAAATGGCGAACGCTGTTCGACTCGAATTCCCATGTGACAGTAAGACAACTGAAGTCCCACTAACAAGTGCCAAACCAAAAACAACAAAGACGACACCCAAAACAGGTATGTTGAAAACAATACAGTACTTTCGTTTTTGCACACTGTCATAATTTATAATGTTGAATCAAAACTTAACGCCACGACAAAAAATCAACACGAACAAAACATGTTTACTAAAGAAAAGCTCATTAAATTCTGAATATGTCAAAATAAGTTGCATGTATCTTTTCGAATCCCGTTCGTTGGAATAAGCAATTATGAAATAATAAAACACCAAACGGTGGTTAAGTCGAAGTATTCATCCGTCATTCATAATATATACAAGTTGATTAAACAACACTTTTTCGGTGTTGAACTATTTCGTAAATAATTCTTTTTAATTGGGGGGAATATACTTGGACATTTTCTAGCCTCCTTTCGTATCATGCATGTCTATTGTATTTTAGATGACCCGTGTGGCTGTGGCGAGGGCGGAGTCTGCGACTGTGAATCAAGCCCCTGTAAATGTAAATGCTTTCCCATGTACTCTGGGGCAAAATGCCAGACAATTTTACCCTTGGACAAGGTCGGTAAGCCACCAATCATAATGGATAACTTTCGTCTAACCCCATACGTAATTCTACTCACATAAATACCAACCATTCTTAGATACCAAACAGAGGTGTCCTCTTCACGGATGTACCCTGAGCGCAGATGATAGCTAAAAAGTAGACAGGGCTACCTTTTGAAGCTAAGTCAAACAAATGTGAAGGGAAACACTAGCAAAAGATATAACAGTGAACATGTGCATGCATGTACACGTACCATATTATTTTAGGCTGTAGTATTCGTGATAAGAAGGTCACCAATAAGTTTTGGAAAAATACCATAATGACTAGCTATCAGACATTCGACAGGGCGCGTTATAGCTTCCCAGGAAGCTGTCTCTACATACTCACGGAACCCAAGGATGCTTTTGAGCCCAAGTTTCAAATTGCTCTCCGTCAGAAGCTTCATGCAAATGAAGGAAAGAACCATACCTGGCCAGAATATATTGTGCTACATGTAAACGACAGGGATGTCATAATTGGGCAGACGAAGAACGATGGAGAGGTTGATGTGAGGGTATGTATATAGTAGTAATGAAGTTGCCCAACATGACCGTCTTGTCAAAGTTCCCCGGGCCCTCTGAGTCACCAAGGAAAACATAAATATCATGTGTTCCAATTGCTCCAATTTCCAAGTCAGTCTCAGACTAAATGTGTGAGACAAGGGCTTTATATGAAACATTTTAAACACTCACATCTATAGGTACCATATTTTCCTACCAAACGCGAAGCAACATGGATGGATGGCCCCGATAATCCAGGAGATTCACAGAAACCAGTTGAAATTAGAAGCGTCGTGGTTTCGTACATGCATAAAACAATATCCATACTGTGATCTTAATCATATTTTCATTGTAGATTGAAGATAAGCAAATCATTGCTACACCAAGCGAACATTCACTAGGTATAGTCCATGGTCACGCCCTCAAAGCAATAGTGACAAAACGGAAGCCTCAAGGTGTTCAAGTTGAAATTGTGCCGTATGGAATTGGATTAAGTTTTGATGGAAAATCTGTTGCAAGTGTGCGTTTGAATAAATACTGGAATAATAAAGTATGAGGTAAGTGACCTCCAGATAGCTATAGTTCGCTGCATCTCTAGGTCTAAAGATGACTATGAAGATTGCAGCGTGTTATTCATGCGCGCATGTCATTATAAGAATCATATTTTTGTCAGTATAATTACTGGGCCATTGAATCGATTAAAAACATTATAGGGATGTGCGGTGACCATGATGGAAAGATGAACGACGATTACGTAACAAAAGAGGGCTATGTCGTTAGACGCCGGGGTGATAACAAAGGAACCCTTATAGGGAATAGTTGGAAAAAGGTGGACCTAGTCGAATATGACAAAGAGTAAGTGACTATACAGGGTATGCTAAAATTGGAACACGTTTTCCATCCATGGTAACTTTTTGTAAGTCATGTATTGTCTTCAATACTTTAGGAGATTGAAAAACAATATATTGTCAACAGCTGTGTAAATGTGAATATACAAGCTCAACATTTAATGACTCATCGTAAGATTTTCCTGAACAAGTCCTCCATCCACCTAAACAATCAGCCTGAGCCATCCTTGGCCCAAGAGTAATTCATTGCATTACATTATGATCTGCTATAAAAGCAGTGAAGGACCGATCTTAAAAGATGAGTCTGAGCTGTATTTGGCAGTCATACATGTATATACAGGGTGGGCCAAAAAAAACGCCACTTTTTTTCAAGACACTACAACTTTTTTATTTTCCAACCAACATACCCTAAGTTTTGCAGTTATATAGTGCCAAGGGTTCTTAGTCATAATATAATGTAACAAGTCCTTCAACTTGGATTATATTTGATCCAAAAGGGGAGTTCAATTGGTCCGCCACCCTAATTAATGATGTATTTTAGTTCCAGTCGCCTTGCTGATATTGCAGTATCAATGAAATGTTAGCTAAGTTTTTTCAACCTGTCTTAATTGCCAGCTTTAGTTGAGCAATTTTCTAGATGGGTGGTCTTCATACAATCTCCTGGAGACCTTCCCATACCCTATACTCACTGGGGTTTGCATCAGGGCTATTAGCTTGGCAACCATCAGGCTGTATCAGTTCAGGAACATTTTGCAAATTATGCTTATTTCTCATAGCACACCACATGTTTAAGTGAGACGCTGGTGGCATATTTTATTCAAGTAAAAGTATATAATTTATGATCCATGGCTAGATAACAACCTCAAGTTTCATTTGATATGTTAATTATGATTTAATATCAAAAATTAAAAAAGTTATAGCATTTTGAAAAAAAAGTGGCGTTTTTTTGGCCCACCCTGTATATAGATTTTAAGCTATATTATCTAAGAGAGGTATGTCTTGCTTCTCCTAGAGATAACGCCATCGCAATTTTGGGTTAATGTGTTGCCTAAGGATGATTGTATTTTGTATTTTCAGGGCACAAAGGTGTAGAAACACCCCGCTGCCTGCTGTTCCCACATTAAGTGATTTCAAACGTTGGGACAGAGAACTATTTGAAAAGGCGAAAACAACCTGTTCAAGGCTGTGTGGCTCCACTACATCAATCGATTTCAGAAAATGCATTGCAAACTTCTTTTTCAATGAAGACGACGTCTCGAGTTGTTGATTACTTTGTTAAGAAGTGACTCAAAATAATTCATCCCATTTCTATTTCTTTTATGGAACAAGAGCGCTTCAAATCAAGATAGAACCACGATTAAATTGTTTTAAATAGGCAACTTGTTTTTATTTGCGTAATAAACTATAAGATTAATTTGGTAAATTGTGGAGGGCCGAGCCCAAGAAAAACGTAATGAATTTCGAATAATACATACAATAGTTTAGTTCTCATGGTTTCTTTATTATTCTAATGGGTTTGCGTTGTTAAACATAATATACAAGGGCCGATCAAAAGGTTTCTTACCGTTGGCTCTCAATTTTATAATAAGAGGAGTTGGAAGCTCAAACTTTATCATGAGACAGGATAGTTAAATTGCTTGAAACTGTACGAGTTTCATATAATTTGGTTTATTGGTAGTGACACAGAGTCAATTCATATTTTCAATGACAAAGTTAGGTGGAGCAGCGTTATATATAAAATATCTGCTGAGTTGTGGTTCTGGAAATTTACCGACATCGTTTCAAACCTCTCATGCTAAGGCCTTAAACATGTGTTTTTGGATCGAGGGGACAGATATAGGAAGTGCATTGCAACTAGGGTTGAATATTTTGAATGAGAATGAATATAAGCAGAAAAACTAATTAAACATGATTAAACTACAGTCTGTTGACAGATGACACTACTTAGTGTTAGAAATTTCTAAAACTGCAACTTAGCACAATTTTTTATAAAAAAACGCTACTCCACCTAGAGAGACAGTATAAAATTGCACGATTAAAAAAAGGTGACATCATTTTCACATAATGTTACACAGGTCGTGATACCATAGTAACCATTAGTCTAGCAGCGCTCCATACATTATTTTCAAACTTTGCACCAGTATTAACTGAATTTCGAAAAAATAGTATGGGGAACTTTGAAGATAGTTGGTAAATAATTAACAACATGTCAGCCCCAGTTCTGTTACCTTTGAGACAACCTGTACTTCTATCCCGGATCCTGTTATAAGATTTGTTATGAAAATAAAACACAAGGATTGTAACATCCCACATAAAAGGCATTATTCTTAGTTTTAGGTTCATTAAGTAAATTGAAAAACATTATATGTTGAAATGAATGAATTAATATGTCGTAATCTATTCGATATTCCTGAAACGATTTGATAGATAGTATAAGATATGAGTTCTTAGGAGTACCTCGTCAAAGAGTGACAGGACGATTGTTCCATCTCAGTCCCCGTCATTCACCTGGTTGTCCTCATTGCCAGAGAAAATTATTGTTATATTTTGTATCTGATCATCACATTACAATTGAACTGGGTCACAGATCATTGTTATTGTTAGTTTTCTCATTGAGGCCAACAGAAGACCGGCATATTAAGCTAGCTCATATTTTTGGGATAATCTGATCCCCAACGCTGACTGTTGATCCGTTCTCGTACTTATCCATTTTGAGGGCAAGTATTAACTTTTCTGCGCTTGTGTCAGCTGAAACAACGAGTCCTTTCTTATCAAATTCATCTATCTTCCCCTCCCAGAATTCTGGATTGAACGAGTCTGCAATTCCATTTACCAGCAGGTCTGTTTTCATGAGACCTAGGGATATTAAGAAAGCATGGAATTTAACAACAAATTGTATGAATGGAAAAAAGAGGCGGTGTTTCGCTACGTTAACTTCTTTTCCAGTTATAGCAAAAAACGCAAAATAACACGTACGTGAATCACGTACGTGACACATTTTATCAAAATGGCCGCTTGATTCGTCAATGTTCCGTGACCGCAGAAGTGAGAGTAGCTCGTTTACATACTTTATCAGAATTACGTCTATCAGTGTTTAATGTCCAATCAAATTACAAGATATGATCACGTGAACGATCATAATGGTTTCACAAAGCGCGTTCTATATACTCCCGGAGTTCGATAGGATAACTTGCAATGAAAATATCTAGAGTCGTAAGACAACTTTATAATTGAATAACCTCATTCCTCTTAGATTCATCAAGTTGTCATTTTAAGCTAATATGAGTACCTGGATCGTAGTTTAGGAGACGTATATCTGGGTCCTCGGCTGCCATGACCCTTAGGAACATAACTCGAGCAGCCTTCATAGAGCAGTATAATGAACGGGTTGGAGTCGGGTTGACTGCTGCGGCACTGCTCACGTTCACCACAACTCTCCTTGAAACGATGTAAAGAAAGTCATAATTATAGTCACTAATGCGTACATGAAAATGCTGTGTACAGGGGAATGTACTAAAAACCCTTCGACCTACGACCCTTCGACCCTACGACTTACTGGGTGTCAAGAATTTTTGGAATATATTTTATTGAAAAACCCTTCGACCTCTGATTTCTCAGTCCAGTTTACTAAACGATTATGTATAGTTCCAACTTGAGCTCCCCGTGCACGCAAATACGCATTTTACCTGGTAATTGTCAAGCAAAAATGTTTCAGTAGAAAAATTTCTAAAAAAGTTCGTCTACACAGCAAAAATACGAACGCCGAAAAAAAAACGTACGCATTTCGTTCGGACTTTTCACGCGAATTACGTATATGTCACGCATTGCGTTCGAAATTTTTCGTCTTATTTTACTTTTTTACTAAAACTTGAAAAGTAGTTGAACGATTTTGAGATCAAAAGTTCGATGGGATTTGCTCCACCTCGCGTTGCTGTTATCTAGTTCTGAAATGTTTCATATCGGAGTGGCTCCAGGACCGACAATTTTGTCGGTACTGAAGACTGTCCAGGGGTATTTGCTGGGGTACCGACAATTGTCGGCACTCTATCGTCACCTAGTAGTGCCAGATAGAGAACCGACAATTGTCGGTACGCAAGTGGCTGCTACGTGTTTTTGCTAGAGAGCCGACAATTTCATAAATAAATCCACTACTTTTAGTTTTCGAAATAACCTCATCACTCTTAGCCTAGTGGTTAGGGAGCACGACTCGAACACACTCGGTCCCGAGTTCGAATCCCGACAGGACCTACTTTTTTCTTTTGAGGGGGGGGCATAGTGCTTCTTTTGCAGTATGGAATCGTACAGGCATTAACTTGTACCAAAATGCACCTGTCCATATAGGGGTTCGATTGACCTACATCAAATTATAGGGAGTCGGGTTACTTTTTGAGATATCAGCGTCCGTTTATTGTAACTTGCGTTTGCTACCACTTCCTCAATTCTGATATGACGGGCAAACACGTAGTAAACATGCTCACGTTCGGAACTATTTTCACCTACATCGCTATTTCAAGTTCGTAATTCAAATGAAAGTTGAACTCCTCTTTATTTTGATACCAAATAGTGGCATACTAGGTACCCTAGAAGCCAACTATGGGTTATTTAGAATGATACCACAGGTTTTTAAATGGACTATATAGAGGTCATACCTTTTGGCGGATGGATATGGAACCTCATACCATAAGCTTCAAATAAAAAACATTCTAGCTATTTTCTTCTATCTAATGGGTAGCAAACGCCCCTTTCTACGCCTGATCGGCTCAGGAGAAATGTCCTGTCTGTTTAGAATATATATAGCCGTTTACTCTGCATTAATAGCTCTCTAACGTCTTACTTGTTCATGTTTTTATTGGGTTTTCAACGTTTACTACCATTCCCCGTTCCCGGGCTACCATTTTTTGACTGGGTTTGGTAATCCCCGGGTAACCGGGCCTAATGCCCTCCCCGGGTTTTGCACTTGTTCCCAAAATATCCGTATGATATCTGAAATATCCCCCCGCGCATTGCGCATGCGCCAGAAAATTCGAAAATCAATATTTGTCGGTCCTCTAGCGTGTAAACACAGCATATCTCCCGTTACCGACAATTTATTTGTCGGTCCTCTAGCGTGCCACCACATCAGAGTCTAGAGTACCGACAATTGTCGGTACTCTAGCCTTAGAACCTCGAATGCTTTGGATTTTGTAGGATGCAAAACAAAGAATCTACTTATTTAGTTGGCATTAGATTCTTAACTATACAAATCCAAATTGAATCAAAGTTGATAAAATCAAAAGACGGTTCTCTTTAAACTATATAAAAAAATTGACCTCCTGAAAATATGCACGATGCGCCACTGTTACAATGTGATGGGAAAAGCACAAATATTTTTACTGAGGAGGTAAGAAACGTTCACATTCGAATGTGCTTGAATACATTAAACCTGCACATCGCTCCAAAACGCAATATGTTGACATATATTGTTTTTACATTTTCAAGCTCTAATATAAAGTTTGTAAATAAAAAAAAATTATCTGCGTAATGTCAAAGAACAATCATTTAGTTAAAAAAATAAAAAGGCGAATGCGAACCCGGGCCTCCTGCGTGCTAAGCGAGCATTCTTCCGCTAGACCACCGTGATTTTATAAATAGTGGGAATAATTAAACGCTACTCATTTTGAATGCTATGATTCGGAAGTGACGTCACGTTCTTCATTTAGAAACCTTTCCGAAATCATATCGCCGGCTCCGATCGAAGTCCAGCTTTAAATATCTTTTACTCTCTTGGGACAGATTCTTAAGTTCTATACACAAAGTAATATTTCCAGCAACTTCATATGGACTGAAGTAGAAGGTCGAAGGGTTTTTATAAAAATATATTTCAAAAATTCTTGACACGCTGTAAGTCGTAGGTCGCAGGGTCGAAGGGTCGAAGGGTTTTTAGTACATTCCGTGTACAGGCTGTTTAAAAATGCAACCCACCTACTAGAGTATGACAAGTCTAAGGTTTGACATGATTAAAATTGGCTGAATGTTCTTCAAGTTGACAAGTTGTTTACGTTGTTTCAGCACTGTGGTATACGTATGCGCCATTTTCTGGCATTATCAGGTATCTGCCCCAAATTATTATCACTTTTCTGCAGACAGACATGTACACTTTGTGCAAAGATGTTATTGACGACACGTGTACATTCATCGTTAAAAATGACTCTTTAATCCTCAAAGATCATGTGCATGTCAATAATCCTTGAATCAATGCAGAGCTCAAACGAGAAATAACACTTAAGAATAAAAGGAGTTTGCAAGTCTGTCGGCAGAGAGTGGTGGTAGCCATATGGAGTACATGCTTTGTATTGGCAGCAAATGGGTCGTAGGCGTGCTGCAGAGATAAAACTTGCTCAACTGAAGGACACTGAACCAACTTTACTTATGCAAAACCGATTTTTCAAGCTCCATTTTTGAAAGACGGATACGTATGTGGGTTACATTTTTCTGAATCACCCTGTATAGTCTATGTATAAACTTTAGTAGCTTTACCTTGTTTACAGTGGCCAAAGTGCAAAGAATGTTGCTTCAAGTGAGTTTAAACGTGATGTTTCAACAAATAAAATGAGAACTTCCTAGTAGCAACCATATGTACTATATCGATAGAAAGATGGCGGTGTAAATTAGACAGACAAGACAAGTTACTACCACTTTTCTGTCGACATAGTTCCTGTAGCAACTGTACCTGGTTCCTTTAAAAGCACTGATGAATTTTGACGTCAAACATACAGTACTGGAAAAGTGCATATTACAATAGTTGGATACAGCGTTTGGATCATCAATCTCAGAGCCTTTGAACTTCGTCATACCCATGTGACTAGCAGCGTTGTGAATAAGTATTGCCTGGGCATAATCCTTAGCATCGACACCATCTAATATGTCAGTGCACATTACTTCAAATGCACTTAAATTTCCAAGATCAGCGACAACAGATTTAACCGTGACGTTTGCGTTAGTTTCAGCGACCATTTTTGATGTTTCTGATAGTGCTTCTGTACTCCTTGCAGTGAGAATAATAGTTGATCCATCTGATACAACTCTAGATATCGCTATAGCAAGACTTCTTCCAAGACCACGGCTTCCTCCTGTTATCACACAGAATATTTTACCAAGAGCAGACATTTCTAGTATTCCCAGCTGACTTCCCAAGCAAATCAAATCTGACTGTATAAAGAGCACTTTTTACAGCGTATGGATTCTGTTCGTTTTCAGAATACATATAGCATTGTGAAGTAGACATGAGTAAAGTTGGTATATGTTATCGTTGTTGAAGTGCGTTTATTATCTTATAACAGGTCGATTTGAAGGCTTTGTTTTCAAACAACGTGTAGAGTGGTTTTATACTGAGGCCCGGGTATACTGTCATTAATAAAAAGAATTCTTATCCATTAAGCTTATAAAAATCAGTCTTATTCTTAAACATGTAAGTAATCAACCACGCATTAACATCTCAGTACACTAGCGGACATTTTAAGCATTTTTTACGTATTCCTGGGCATCAGGTTTAATAGGTCGAAGCGACCGCGATGAAGAGTTCGGTGATGTTTGCTGTCTTACCCGTTCTACAAGGGCCGATCCAGCCGATCCAGAAGTTCTGATAAAAAATGCTCTAACTTGTTTATTTATCATTTGTTTTCCACAATGTTTTTAGAGTTACTGGGTCATTTATTTCCTCATAAGATGTAAATATCTAGATGCTGGTTATGAATATTTCAGAAGTTTTGGTTGCTATGGTAACCTCAATAACGCTAAAAAATTGTGAAGTTTAAAATTGGATGGGTTTCTTTTAAACAAATGATCGAAACCCCATTATTAGGTTACTTAATTTTACAAATGTCTGTTTTAATAGTAACTGTTGTTAATGTCCTCTTTTCATAAGTGTTAAATCATTATAAATCATGTTTGGTACAGAAGACATGAATGCTTCATGATACATTAGACAAGACATGAGATACTAATATAAGAGCCACTAAGCTTTCAGCTCATCTACGTAAAGCAATTGATCAGAAAAAGCGACCGAACAGAGCCAAAGATTCAAACATGTTTGACTTGGACAACACATCATGTCTGCCAAATCTTAATCTAGCATGATCTACAATATTATCAGCAACAAGTAAAATATGTAGGTACATGCATGTATTAGGACAGAAGTGTATTAGAACATTATTCATACTTCCCAGATAATGCCCCTCCCCTCAGTGGACTTTGTTGTGTTTGGACTTTGGCCCTGCCCTAAAGAGAGGGATCCGTGAGTCTCATATTTTAGAACATTTGTTGAAATCAAGAATGCTGTCGACATCTCACTAGAACTGAAAGGGTGAGTATAAACAGTGGATGGATAGATACCAGGGTGTATTAATGGAGTGAATTAATGCATTAAACATTATTTTGAGTTTATTTGTTGAGTTTTATCTCAAATAGTATTGCACTACTGTGGGATTTAGTTTTTCAGATTTTCATTTTCGTCAAGTTATGACGTCAATATGAGCTCAAGTCCTGGACAAAGTAGTGCCCCTACCATGGAGTTGGAAAAGTGTGATTACAGAAAGTTCTATCAATAATTCATTCTAAAAATTCCAAACTGTATGGCCATGTAAATTATGTAAATTGTGTACAAATTTCAAGTGATTTCCTTTACTTAAGAAAAAGATACAGCATTTTTATCAAAACTTCTCGATCTGCCTTTGTATTTCCTAAACATGTACACGACACTCGTGAACGAATTACTTTTCAGATACCGGGTCTTACTATTAATATAAGGGTAAAATATCTGGATATGAATTATTTCTTTTTGGTGAAAATGATGAAAACGTCCCTCCAACGGATCCATTTTGTTATAAAGAGGCAAGTTACAGTAGGGAGGGAGAACTGATCCCTCGAGGACCATAACTCTACACGTTCAAATACAAGTTCGTTTAAAAACGAGTACATGTAGATTCAATTCTGCCTATTTTTTAAAAACACGTACGCGACCTTAAAAACGACAAGTACATATTTCATGATTAAAGTACATCTAAAGGTTCTAATATTTAATGAATTAAACATCATTTTAATCATTCTAATACTTATTAATGAGGCCGTGATACCGATAAATAGTATAGGCCATGGTTTGACTCCCGAGTATACGAGGGTTGTCCCATAAGTCCTGAACTAATAGTTATACGACCAAGAGTTTTTGTTATAAAAACTGAAATTTCATAAGTGTTATCCTTGGAAATTTTCTGATCAATGCACATAATTTAAACAAAAATTGTAACAACAATATAAGTATTAAAATATAATTGTTTTGGTACTCCAACTATATGCAAGAGAGCAGAACTTTTGATTTTCTTAGGATATTTTTGTTGAAATGACATGAAGGTTAGATGTTTCGCTGTATTTCGAATTCTCTGAAATACTTTGAAAATCGATGGCCTGCGATTTGAGAAATTCTAATTTGAACTTTGTCAATTTAGTTCTACCGAACTACTTGCTATGGATATATGCCAATTTTTAACAATGGATTAATAGATGTCGTGATGGTGGCAATATTATCGAAGTGTAGTCGGCGTAAACATTTAATCATCATCCTCCGATCACAGGGCTTCAAAATCCAGAATATATTCTTTCTTTTCACCGGAAGAGGTACGGAGGTACGGATTCTGGATACCTGCTTAGGAGGATGTTACCCTACTATCACACCAAACTAGTTCTCACTACGTTCTCGAAAACGGGCTTCAACTGTGTACGAACGGACTGGACGTACTAAGAACCGTTTGGGATCTATTTACAAACTTCATCAAACGTACTCGAACGGGTAGGTCCTCTAGAACTTAGACAATGCTCAAAATGTTTTCGTGGTCGTCACGTTCTACAATTAGAACGAGTGACAACGTACTAATGACGAGCTGGACGTACTACGAACGGAACCGTCGTACTTCAATCCTACTAGGGACGTTTTAACAACGAGTGGAACTGTCTGAGGACGTGTTGAGAACGAGGTAGAACTCATTGCAAACGGGTTTAAACTGATTAAGAACGTATTTACGACTGCTTATGAACGAGTTAGCAAAGATATAGCTATCACACCAAACAAGTTGCCACTGCGTTCTTCAAAACTGGTTCTAAACTGTGTGCGAACGGAATGAACGTAGCTGCAACTTTCTAAGGTCTATTTACGAACTTTATGAACGTTCTCAGACGGGAATGTGATTTTAGAATTTTGAATCGATTCAAAATTCGATTGCGACCATACCGTTCTGTTATCAGGTCATGATGACCTTCTAGACTAAGGGACGCGTTCTACGGCGTTACACACCGACGTGGTGCGACCTGAACGAACTGCGAACGAGATGGACGTATTGAAGACTGTTTAAGAACGAAGAAGCTAATTATTTCAGACATATTTCCCGACCACAGCCAGTTTGAGCCCGTTTTACGACGTTTTCGTAGGACTGGCAAGAACGGGTAAGAACGAGTTTGGTGTGATAGGGGGGTTAATCATGGGCTTTCAATTCTAGTTGAAGGCCCGTGATTTAATGTACATTTAAGTTGATATTTTGAAAATTTTCATATTTGAAAAAAAAATCATTTTTCAAAAGGAACATTGAGAAGGTGTTATATCCAATTCTCATATACGGTCGGTTATTGGATACCCACATTTCACAATAGATTTTTCCTACGTGGATCATACGATGATGATCGTGCAATGATCAACGTATGACGTGCATTTACGCGCTTTGTGTGAGTTCAAGTTGCGTGTGAGTCGAATGACTTTGATTGGATATTGGTTTATTGGGGCATATATTCCATGATTATTTTCTTTATCCTAGAATAGTATAAGTTGATATGAGATTGTATTAATAATAGAAGGAAAAGTAAGTAAATGTCTAAATTATGTGCACTCTGATCGTGACAGATATATAGGGTGTCTCAAAAAAATGTACCCAAAAGTATATCAACACCATAGACAAACCAATCAATATTTTCAGACATTTTTTGCATGGTCTTGTAGATAAAAGATGAACGTTTTTTCCCCTGACAGTTTTTCATTCAGTTTTGCCCTTTGATACTTTAACCCGTTACCTTTTACACCACATATTCAATGTAACCTCATATTTCGATGACAGTCTGCATCCTTACTACTACATTTTTCATCACATTTGATATATCTGGTGGAATGTTTTGATTTCTGTTCAGATGCTGGTCTTAAGTTGTTCTAGGTCTCTTAGCTTGGGTTTAGCATAAAACTGGTCCTTCAAATAGCCTCAGAGAAAAAAGTATGGGCCGTCAAATATGGTGAATAGGGAGGCCCTCACGATGTCTTATAGCCCCCTTATACAGAGAGGTCAGAGGTTCAAGAAACTGCATTGCTTGGGATTCTAATGAAGCTTTTGTTTGTGTATCAATTTGAGACCACTGTGTTTTCATTTGGATATGATTTGGTCTCCAGGCTAGCCTGCCTAACTCTGGAAGGTAACTCCTGAATCATTTGACGATGTTTGTTCTGCCATCGTCATCCTCAAACATCTTTCTCTGTGGCTATTGGAAGGTGTGTTTTAATGCTCATTCCAAGCAAAAAGACCGAGAACAACTAAGGGCAACATCCAAAAAGAAAATCCAAAACATTCCACCAGAATTATTATCAAATGTGACGAACAATGTAGCAGTAAGGATACAGCCTGTCATCGAAATATGAGGTTACATCGATTATGTGGTGTAAAAGGTAAAGGGTTAAAGCATCAAAAAGACAAGACTGAAATAAAAATAGTGTATTGGGGAGAAAACTTTCATGTTCTGGCTACATGGCCATGCAAAAAATGTCTGAAAATATTGATTGGTTTATCTGTTCTCTTGATATACTTTTGGGTACACTTTTTGAGACACTCTGTATATATGGTTTCACATAATTTGTACTTATTGTAAAAGAGCGCGTTATTCACGTTTGACACGCAAATGTGTACTTAATACGAAACGAATATTGGAAATTGAGATAAAAGTAATTGCATTGATTTTAACGAAATAAATATTCATTTTCATCACTTTTTGCACTAAATATACTTTAATTTTTGCTCCCATGTGACCACTGCACTAGACGAAAAAGACTTTCGGAATTCCCGGGTTGGCAATACGCCAAACAATAGAATGTATTTTAAAATGCATACAGTTATGTTCTTTTACAATTTCACGTTGACAATAAATCTAAGTTTTTCATTAAAGTTGTAGGGCGACAATTCAAAAGTGGACAGAGAAGTACCACAATTTCTCCGCCAATAATCGAAAATGAAATACGTAGTTCCGTTATTGAATTCTCATATGCATAATGCCATAAGCTATTCCGGATCTTCTGAAAAATAAATAGCATTGAGTGGACATATGTTATCCTTCAATCTCAAACTTAGCAAACATATATCAACACTCAAACGTCGGTTACGCCGTTTAATAAAACATATTAAGAAACGATGACCATTTTATCGATATAAATATTTCACGGCGGTTTGTAATGTTTGGGAGTTCACTTGGTGTATTAAGTTCTGTGATATTACCTGACCTGATTACGTATGCAACAAAAGCCAATAAAGGAACAATGATTGGTCCTCCATGACATGACGTCGCGACGTCAAAACGTGCACACTGAAAACATAAAATTTTATTAAAATATTAATATTTCATGATTCATTTTCTTAATTAAAACAATGTTGTGGAATCACTTAGTGTATCATGCAATATTAGTGATTCATGACGCCATGACAAAGTCAAGACACAAACTAGTGTGGGAAACTTAATTAAAATATTCCCATTTTGTACTTATATGTTTGTACCTGTATTCTGGCATTAATAATCATATCGCTAGAAAGATACGATTAAAAACTGCTATAAGAGATGTTTTTCACAACGTTTTAAGCCCAGCGTATCTCAAATCCGTAACCCATTCACCGGATCTGCAGTGCGTAAATAGTAGTTTAATTGAAACGAGATGCGTGTACGTATACATACGTTTTCACTTTAACCCATTGTGCGAAACCGCTCTACTATATAATACCTTTAAAACACAAAACTTATATATATATAACAAATATTCAAAAACAAACTTTAAAGTTCTGTATTTTCTGATATTGTCTTGGATGATAGAAAAAAATGTTCAAAAATCTAGTTTCACCCTTTTTGAAAAGGGCCCATTTTCAAGATTTCTCATGTCATGTTTTCCCGAATTTTCCCATTTCTTCAAATCCAAAAATGTTGATAAGAAAGAAAAGTGGGTACATGTCGGTCAGAGAAATTGGTCATTCAGTTTTAAATTATCCCAGTTAACTTAATCATGAAAATAGCTCTGAAAATAAATTACAGATTAACTAAGATTATAGCTCTTTGGTGTTAAGATGAATTATCAGTATACATAATTATATAAATCGGATAATATATCCATAATATTCTACTCTGTGGCATTTTTCCCATTACCAGGAATTTCCACACATGGTTAGTATAAAATAAAATGGAATCCACTTTGGCATGAAATTAAAAATCAGTGGAATCAAAATCGACTAGTGTTAAGCGGGGGAGTCTATGAAGAGGAGGGTTCAAGATAGTTCAATTGAAATTAGGTTTATCGTCATATTCCCCACATGGGTGTCGGTCGCAGAGATTATAAAGACAGAACTGGCTAAAAGGAATAATAATAGTTGCTAATCCGTTAAGGAGGTACCACTAGCTGAGAGCAGTCGATTGAAGAACAATAATAACGCGCGTTACCATTATCGTCACTCTCGTCTGCTCACATCAAGGAATAGGAAAGATAGTGCAATATTTTGTAAATAGTTTCGTATATAGTTAAAACTGTTTGTTTGATTTGAGACAATATATAATGTTGATTGGAGGAAATTATGCATCGCTATGCAGTATAGGACTGTTTCTTGTTATCTATTCGAGTTCGAGTTATGCTTTGAATTTGCAGGTAGGTTGCTTCAGAATATTTCTCCCTAAAACAATATTTTTCAGACTCCCTATTATTCGGAAGCGCAATTAAAATAAGTTTGTCATGACAAACTAAATGAATAATAGTGAATGTGAAATATAACGAGATACCCTCAAATCAATCTCAAAAGTAATATGCAGCATAAATATTTATATTTATATTTTGTGATTGTAATATGGTAATTGGTAAGACAGCACTTATTAAAAACAACACTTTTGAGCATTATTTGACTCTTTGAAAATGTGCTACATAGAAGTTCACCATTTTCTATGAGGTAAATGCATCTCACTTTTTGAGGCAATAGATCCGCTCAGTACTAGGTGAACAAGTTTTTACACTTTTATATTTACAGAAAAGGAGATATGAATATTCTTTCATCAGGTGATGAAAATCACAAATCGTGGTTCAGAGTGTTGACATATTGCTTTTTCCGAAATTTGCATGGAATTTGAAAAGTGGATTCTTAACAATTTGAATACGAAAGCCGAGCTACATATTTCTCAATAAAACATCCCACACTTTTGAGTCAAATTTGCGCAAGGGGATATCGTCAATTTTTACGAGGTAGTGATTTTATCCCCTGTAATTCCAAAAGATCCTCACGACCTAGGCTTGTCGATTAGATTTAGTGTCTATATTGACAGAGTTTAAGGGAACCATATTCTCCTGCCTATTCATACATGATAAAATCTTGCCAGATGATAGAATCTTGAATATGCTATCCATGTAAGTATATAAATGTAACAGTGTTCATGCTTCCGTTCTGATTACCAAGCCAATTAAATCGCGAATCGACCTCAGTCTCTATAACTTCACTATTTGTATGATGAGTTGATGGGACTATTGGAGTTGTAGGAGTTTCTGCAAAAAAGTTTCCTGCGAAAGATATATGATCCATCCAGTATTTGACCTTTGTTTGTGTTTTCGACATTTCTAGCCGAGAGAAAAAATTATCAGATCAACCTTTATTGAATCATAGGGTATCAAATATTGTCCAATGTTGACATCCCTTATATTAGGATATTAAAATAATACATAAATGACGTCACATTATGCTAATGAACTCTAATGATCAAATAACATACTAAGTATCGATATTATTCTGAGTACATGATCTATTCTAACTAGATAACAGCAACGTCAAAGCGTAGCAAATCCAATCGAACGATCATGGCTGCTATTTTTGGAGATGGCATCTAATTAGCCAAATTGTCGTCATACAGTGTAATACTAGTATTCTTCTTTGTATTCACATAAAAACCACTTTCTAGCCAATACGTCATTCGGAAGTGTTAAAATGATATCCTTCTAATTAGAATTCACATATGAAATTTCAATAAGATCGCTCCACTACTTTTCCCGTGCAACAACTATAATAATGCACGTGACTAATGACCTCCATTTTTCAAAATGGCAGTTTATTTTTAAGAAAGACATGCTGGTAAGTTGTGACATATACTCGTAAACTTCACGCCACTAAAAAAATCACTCCACTACTTTTCGAGTTAAAGTAAAAACGCAGCCTTTTGCAGCCTCGTTTTTAAATGTATATACCACAGAGTATGTACCACGGTAGAAAACGTTTTACCGGGAGTACATTCTACGACCGTATGCAGTGTACAAAAAAGACGATAAAGAAAAGAAATATATACTGTGGGAAATATGCTGAAAGAAAGTAAAAAGATGAACATGTTTTCACCTCAATGGAATGACATATTTGTGGTATCTAATACTATATGGTCCAGTTCAAACACGAACCTTGGCAATTTCAACAGAAACATTTCATAAAGTGAAGAATTCCCAAGTCGCTTTCTTTGACGTTATTATAGTCCTGATAATTAGCAATTGAATTGGTGATCTTCTTTACTTTGTGATACTTTCTTTTAATTACGCCCAGTTTAGTATCGGCATATAGTACTATAACCCGAATTGGATCGCCCTATAAATGTACGTTTTATCATCTCTTAAGGTTAGCCATTATTGTGAATTGTGTTACCAAATTTTACTTTACACAAAGGTCTTGCACCAGGTTCCTTTTATCTGCATCATAACTGCCATTAGGAAATTATAAGTAACTTTATTAAGTTAACTCTGAAACAATAATCCATTTATGTGACCTTTTACAACTGATCTCTGCGAGTCGATTCGGGTTATGACTTTGTTATAAATAAAGCCACAACCCTCAATGAGAATTCGAAAGCTCAAATTGTAACATTATATTACCTACACAATCCACTAACAGATTGCTTTTCTTAACAATACTCATGGGGCCTCCGTATCCGTACAACATATGTGTAAAATAAGCTATAAGGGAGTTGAATAGTTTAATGATTATTTTACAGTAATACCCGTAAGGTAGGTTTCTGTTACGTGTGTTGACTTTAACTGATACGTGTAAATGCAACAATTATGGTATGTTACTGTATCTGAAATTTGATGCAAGATCTCAGCTGGAAACAAGAACTTAATTTCTGTAAAACACTGCAACTTCATGATATCTTTGATTTGTCCACTAGTTACTTGGGATGATTGAAGACTCCTCTTTTATTGACAGAACATAAAATCAGACACGAATATGATCAACCTTATTTTATTGACAATTGTATCAAAACATGACACATTACAGTCAAGCCAAGTAAATAAGTCAACATTCGAAAATAAAAATCTCAAAAATCGTACATCTTTGATTTCCAAAATAATTTGTGAGATGGTTATTAAGATAATAATACACATTTTAACGTATTAATTTTTGAGTACATCTCGAATCTATTCTCAACAAAGCGTTCTCGAAATAAGTATTCGAAATGTTTGAGTTCGGGATGATAAAAGTACGTTAAGATATAACGCTCCTTAACAAACTCCTTTGGGAACAAAATATAGAATCTAACGCATATTCTTCTTATTTACTCCCTGACACATGCCAATCAATGTTACATATGTAAATATCTCTGTTTTAAATGATTTTGAAAACGTTGTTCTCTACAGGTGCCATTTTTTATAATTGAAAAACAAAATTGAACATTTTGCATTTCTAAATTGATAAGTGTCTTGGAATACAACTTAACCGTAAATGATTTAAGTCATTAATAATATTTCCCTCAGTGATCTCATGCTAAATAGGCAGTAACTGGGTCAATGTTTTGTGTTCAACCTTGTTTTCATGACTTTTAAACATTAGTCGACGATTATGTAGGAAATTTCATTTCCAAATGAAAGCGTGTCAACTCCTGATTTTGCACAATATTTAGCTTTTTATAATGATAGATCGCCAAAATCTGCATATAGCTTTCAATTAGGCGATATGTTTTTAAATGTATAGATGTAAGCAATAAACTCAAACAAAAATTCAAACCACCCGCTATTATTTTGATTACACAAGACGAAATTTTCACTCCCGGGGAGCATTTTGGTAACACTTTGAAGGAGGATTCTTGAAAAATCGTTCGAATTTTACAAAAGGTTTCACGTAATTTTATTGCTTTGTTTAAGCCTCGACTTATATCATACTCAAATCTGATACCATAATTATAAATTAGAATGAAACATTAAACTCACCAGGTTATATGATAAACCGTTTCGAGAATTGATGATTTGAGTTAACTGTTGATATTTATAAAAATGTAAGTCGGCATGTATTCGACAGTTTATGATTCACAACAACACAGGAATTAAATTATATTACATTTATTTACTAAAGTTTGGCTTGGGGTTCCCTGAAAGAAAGTCATTTGATTATACATTAATAATATACAGTAGTTAAGGCAATCCACCTCACCAAGCTATCTATCTTGATTTCAAATTCATATATGTTCGAGTGATTGATTGATTGATTGAATTTTTGATTGATTGGATTACTTGATTGAGAGCTTGTGTGATCCCGCGACGTGTCGCTTGATATGATGGACGAAGTCTTGGGTACAAGCTAGATAGGAGAATTGAAGCGACCAACTGCATATGTGTACTTGTGGTCGGGGAGTACAAGTATGCAAGTCTTCCTCCAATAACACATTGAACGGAAGCCGAAGGCACACGAAAGCTACATCGTTGGCAGCAAACGTGGGCTGCATCGTTGGCAGCCGAAGCCAAAGGCAAACGTGAGCTGCATCGTTGGCAGAGCTGCGCTGTGATCCCTGAATATTGGGAACGCACCAATGCATTGTTGGAACCCATGTACATCTTTGAATAGTGAAATGATGATAATCACAAGATGCACAATCGGCAAACAAACATGTCTTGTACTGATCTAAACCTAAATATCGGCCAATAGGCCTATCTCTTAAGATAAATGGCGTTCAGAATAATTGGTGAGTGGTGGGGTGGATGGCGGATAACTGTTTAACAAGGTGACTTTGGGATGTTGCTATCGCAAAGCGCACCTTAAAATGAATCAAGCAATGGTTACGTGTTACAATAACATAAGAATTAGCCAACCGGTTCGTTGCACATGATATATGCCTTGAGGGGTGGAGATTGTTGTCAATCATAAACCCGACTCATACTTAAAGTATAAGTCAAACATTTATGATTCACAACAACACAGGAATTAAATTATATTACATTTATTTACTAAAGTTTGGCTTGGGGTTCCCTGAAAGAAAGTCATTTGATTATACATTAATAATATACAGTAGTTAAGGCAATCCACCTCACCAAGCTATCTATCTTGATTTCAAATTCATATATGTTCGAGTGATTGATTGATTGATTGAATTTTTGATGGAATGTGAGTGGGGTAGTTGCAGCCTACCAGGCTGCAGGCAACCCGGTCAAGGGGTGCCTGCAACCTAGCATGGGATATCTGCAGCCTACACCGGGGTATAATTTAAATCATATTTAACACATGACTTTGTTTATAGATGTAGCCTGAGATTGAATATGCACTAGTACCAAACAAAAAAAAAGAAAAGGACCTCCATTAAGCTTTAACCTTAATGTAGGCAACGTTTTTTTCAAAAACACTAACTAACACTAACGGGCAGGGGAAGGGGTGTCATATGACTCCCCTGACCCCCCTGGTGTTTCCAAAGTTGGAGAGCTACAGTAAAAATTAAGGTATACACCATATGAAAGCTCATTCCCTTGGGGGTGTTGTGACCATTGGCTACCCATGATTAGTCGACCAAAGTTCGAGGTCAATATCTAGGTATCTTGCATTTTAAGACTCTTGGGGTGTGCTGTGACCCTTGGTGACACAGAATTAGTTTACCTTATGTCAAGGTCACCTCAAGATCAATATCTAGGTATGTGGGATTTCAAGGCCCTTGATTAGCTGACCTGAGGCCAAACTCAACGTTTATCAGTCAATGTCATCTCAAGGTGACCCACTCGAATAGGTAGATTGCTAGTACACTTAATAGGCTTAATGTGATCCGGATTGTGTGAATTGAAAAAATACTTTTGATAGATTCTCACAGGCATTTGAATGAACATTTTTGAAATTTAATGACCATTTTGGCATTTTCTATGGGCCAAGGGCCAACTTTGTTTTCTTGTTTTAAGTTGTAGGCTGTTTCAGTGTTTCAAACATGCTTTAAGAGTTAGGAATTCAATATTTAAATAACAAATGCCCATGGGCATTTTGGAGAAACGATTCCAATTAAATGCAAGTGGAAAGTTCAATACGAATGGAGATCTTATTTCATTGTTTGATGCCTTTAAAGTCAGAAAATTCAAAGTAGAATATATTCATGTGGATAGTATTTAGTATGATTACTTATTGATATGCTTGACTTGATCCTTAAACCCCAGCTGTCACACGCCCTTGGATAAGTCAAGCATATCAATAAGAAATCATAGCTTTTATTGTTATTGTAAATATTGCAGTTAATCATTCAAAACAATACAGTAAATTCAAATGTTAAATTTAAGGCTTTATTCATATTTTTATAAATTGCCAACAAATTAAATTTTTCTAGTTCTTGTAACATCACATTTCATATTAGAATCAATTATAATTAATCCTACAGTATCTTAACTTACAATAGTTGTATTTAATAATCAAAATCCTTAAAAATCCTTAACTGAGTCCTTGGACTGACAAATGCTTACAATATGAATATAAATATAATCAAACATACAATACTGTACTCCGGGTAAATTTCGACGCCATGAAATTTCGCGATTTTTCAAAATTGCAATTTCGTGGCTATTAAATTTCGCGGATTTGAGTTTAATATGGCCTAACAAGCCAATGCAAAATATTAGACATTTTAGGCCCTTTTTAAAATATCACCCAACAAAACTAGACGAAACGTTTTACACCGAACGAAATATATAATATATATATATTAATATATGAAATATATCAAAGTAGGGGTAAATCTAGTAAATACTAATTTAACAAATCCCCGGGGATTTAAAAGACACATTTCACGACGATAAATGTTCGCGATTTTACCTCGATCGCGAACAAAGCGAAATTAAATTGCATGCGAACAATACCCGGAGTACAATTACTGTTCATTAATTTCATTTGTTATTACATTTTAATCTAATCAGTTTATAGTACAATCCTTATACAGGGTGGCCAGACAAAATTGAAAAATAAATTCCAGAGATTTCCTGAATTTGAAATGGAATATGGTAAATGTAAGATTTCGTGGCAATTTTTCATTGCACCATTGTGTTATATTTAACACTAAAAGGCAAATTAACATCCAAAATGTCACTACCTGCCATTTGTTACAGACACAGAATGCCAACCACCAAACACCAACTGCACTTGTGGTGGTGACATAAAAACTATACATACCAGTAATACATGGACATGGGCATACATGTAGCCAGGCATGAGGCAAAATCAATTTGTTTTGCAACATTGGGGTTATATTTTAATCAGTTTGCTGGGTGGGTGCATTGGGCATCCCAATTAATTTTGTTTAGGCATTTCCAGATGAGCAATTTTGAATTAATTTAAAATCATCAGAGAGATGTCTCTTTATATTTGGAAATTTAGACTTTGTTTGATGTTAGGCATCTTAGCTAAATTTCAAGGCTGCCATTTTGGATTTCTGTCCTAAAATCTGGTCTCACCTATTCAGATTTCAATGGTGGATCAGCTTTTTGTCACCTCAACCTATTCTTATAAAAAGTTGAGAATTTTTCTTGAGAAATTGATTGAAATGTTTTATTTCTCCTTCTAAAGAACTTGAAAGTTACTTTAAGGCAGCTATTTTAGATTTCAGAAAAATGAAATTCTCTGGAAAATCTCATTTTCATTTTCAGTGTTTTCCTGAGTTATTGTCTAAACTACAGTGTTTTCCAGAAGCTGGAATTTATATTACATTTCCAGTAAATTCCAGAGCTGTGGCCACCCTATTATAAACCAACCTCTCCTTTACAAGCCAACAGGATGTCAGTGTTTTGCATGAACATTTTTCATATGTTGATTGCAATTTGATTTTAAGGCAAATGCTTTAGCACATATTAGACACTTGAATGGTTTTTCACCTGTGTGGACTCTCAAATGACGTACCATTTCTATCTTATTGCGACATGAAACTGTACAGTGTGCACATTTGAGTCTTTGAAGTTTACGCTTCAACAAGATATTACTGTTATCAGAAACTTCAGGTTTCTCATCGAAGTTGTCAGAAACTTCTGACCTCTCAGCACCAGCATCAGTAGATTCGAAGTTGACAGAAACTGTTGACCTCTTAGCACCAGCATCAGTAGCATCGAAGTTGACAGAAACTTCTGACCTCTCAGCACCAGCATCAGTAGCATCGAAGTTGTCAGAGACGTCTGACCTTTCAGCACCAGCAACAGCAGCACCGAAGTTGTCAGAGACTTCTGACCTCTCAGCATCAGTAGCAGCACCAGTAGCAGAAGGAGCAGTAACCCTCTGAAAGAAGATGTTGAATATCCAGTAAGGAGAGTATACTTAGTGTTCTTCATACTGCATACACTAAGCAAATAAAAGTGCACCTCAATACCCACTTTTTGTCTCTTAAAATTATGTTAAATATTGTTGACCAGTGAATCTCGTGAATAGGCTCGCGGGCATTTATTTTGCACAGGACGTTTATTTGGAAGAATTTTTAATTTTTAATATATGGGCCTATATTAAATGGGAAAAACATTATTCCAAGGGGAATGGGCTATTATTTAGAGGGGAAATAGCCTTCCCAAGCCAGTGGATGTTTATTTTTGATGACAGTGAAATGAACGATGCACCCTCTGGAAGTGACAGTGATGATAGACTTTCCTACAACTAATGTGAACCTATTAATTGAAACTATCGAACTTTTGGGTCAGCATTATTATACAGGGTGTACCAAGCTTTACCCACCTAAAGCTGAAGCAATTTCAATCCTTTTCTCGAATGTTCCACCCACTGGGTGTTTATTTGAAAGAATTTTTAATAAAATCCCATGAGCCTTTAAATTATAAAGAGGGAACAAAACTTTTTCATACAACCTTCTTTCCAATAAATGCCCATGGGCGTATTCGTGAGAAACTCTGGTATTATTATACTATTTGTATTTCACTTTTCCTTAGCTTTGAATCATAATTAACTTCCTGCTGAAAGTCACAATAGGTATTCCAACTTATATACAAGTTATACACAAAATGAAAAAGAAAAATAAGGTATTTTGCATTTCGCGAATGCCAATATATTCGCATATGTAAGACAATGATGATCCTACTAACTGGAGGGAGTAATCTATGTGCTATCACAGGCAAATGGGGCGACATGAAAGACAGGCATAACGGGCGACTATGTAAAGCTTGTGGTGAAGAGGATGAGACCTTGGAACATTTCATGTTAAAATGTAAATATTTCTCAGCCGAACGAAAAATAATTCTAGATATAGTTAAAAATCACTCGCTGATATTGAATCAAAGTAATGAGCAAATCCTAAGACTAATATTTGGTGAAAATGAACAATTGGCACCTGATCAGTACATATTAATTGCGAAGAATGTTCATAAAATGTATACATGTGAAAGCAGAATGTAATTTGCGTATCTCAAATGGTCAAAATAACTCCAGAGCATTGGGCCTGTTGCGGTTACGGGTCAACGCGGTAGCCTGGCGTCTGGCCGTTTAATAGGGGGTGCTCTGGATTACTGACTATGTATATAATGTATATAACTTTTTGCTAATTTATTTTCTTTTATAAGAAATTGTACTCTTCAGAATTGGAGGAAATAAAGATACAAACAAACAAACATGGCAAAAATCACAACCTGCAAATGGTTACAACTTAAAATAGTGTAATAATTGTTACGGATGTTCTCCCTGACTGTCAACACTCACCTTAACCTATCGGAAACTTAAGATAACTCCTCAATTCTAGGATATTAATATCATGTGCAGTTTTTGATGCCATTAATCGTCATTAATAGATAAAGAAATTGATATTTTTGGTTCTCAGGAGAAGGAGGGGATATTACACAGTAAATGATTAATAGAGTGATTAAGTTAATTATCAGACTTTCCAATTTTGATATGTCCTAAGTCTATAGACTCACCCATTTTTGACTTATGACTTTCAAAGACAAGGAAACACAAAGCAGATAATTGATGCAAATTGTCCTCACCTCACTTCTTGTCAAGGACCTAATTAGCCTGTGGGCTTCCACGGCATTCTGCCCCTGACTATGTAGGTTGTACACAGTCTTTTGGGTATTTTCGGAATGTTTCATATGCTTAGCCATTATGTTAGTTTCCTTTGCCGATTTGGCTTGAGCAAATGCCTGCAAAATATAAATAAATGACAGTTTTGATAAGCTTTAGAGTAAATAAGTAGAAAATGGCAACTTTAGAGAGGCTAGCACATCCCAATAAACAAAATATGATTCAACAGTCATCTGAAAGAAGACTATTCTATATTTAAACACTTGAGACTGAGGGCTTAAACATAACCCATTTTCCCAATCAAATATTGTTATTCATTAGATTATAAAAGACATTTTGGTTAAAAATGTTTCAACTTGCCATTTCACAATTCCTTACAATATACACATGCACAAAGTGTCATGTATTGAATAAAAATAAAAATGTTGTCTAAATCCATGCATTTTCAAAAGTGAATCCATCCATTTTCAAAAAGTTATTAAAAATCAAAAACAGCTTTCTATATTTCGATATAACAAAATGATTTAGTTTTGCAATACTTCTATTAATAATGTAAATCTTCTTCAAGCAACTGAGAAATCATTTCATAATATTAACAGCCATCTTTGGCCAGAGACGTTATAATATGTCTCTGTGTTAGCCCATCCTGCAATTAAAAAGGTCTATCTACTCAACATGATTTAGCTTTTAATAAATAAATTACCTCTGTCACCAACTTCTTTCGAAATTGGTTTATTGTCAGTCTTCCCAACTGCTTCTCCTCAAGCCATTCAGCAAGGCGGAATGAGCCCAGGGCTGCCCCCCTTCCACTGACAAATACCAGTTCATTATCACATACAGGCCGTATGACACGTATATATGTGTCCACTAGGCTATACATATCTGAAAATGGCATTAATTAATCAATTAGGCATTAATTAATCAATTAAACAATCTATGATCAATAATGTTGAGCAATGTAGAACAATAAGTCACTTGTACTTCTGTAGAATATCGCTTGTTACTTTATAGTCAAGTGTAGGACATGGACCAATCAGAGAGTGAGGAAAATGACAGAGCTAGTTAAAATTAATCCATAAACAGTTTGGCTGGAAACCAGAGAGTGCAATTAAAATACTCCCTCTTATTTTCAGCAGTATTAGGTTTGAAACCTGGGCAATATGAACACAAAATCACTTTTGCTATAACACAGGTTGTTCACGTTTCCCATGGATTCAAACACCATTTTGAATTTTGCCAAATTAGAATTGTTAATGAACCACCCCTTTTAATTATTTCAAATAATGATATGTTCCCTCTGAAAACTTAACATGTTATTTTCCTTTGCTAATTCTTTTAAAATTAGGTAAACTTACCGTTTGGCATCACAATTTGTGCTGCATGATGTGTTCTTGTAGTTTTGTGTTTAGACACCTGGAAGACAAATTAGTGGCTATTGATCAATAAAGGAACCTTGGAACTCTTTTTATGACATTTTGCTTCAAACATTTTACACAAAACTTATATTTTGTACTCAAACTAAATCACTACCCCTCTAGTCTAAAGGTATACTAGAAAATACACTTGAAGTACTATACTTGAGCAGGTTAGATGCCCTTAAAAGAACAAGACATATGGTGAACAATAAAGCACCCTTGAAAGTACAATACTCTAACCTTGAAAAGATTACTTACATGCACAATATGATCTTCGCCTCTCACCTCTGCGTTTCTAAACTCACTCAACTTCATATTGAGCACAGCCGATTGGCGGTTGCCATTCCCAATGGTCAACGCAGCGAGAATTGAGTTTCTAATTTCTTTCTGATCTAAAACAGAAGCCTAAACTAAACAACAACAACAAGCAAGTCAAACCAATCAAAGCACTATTAGGAAGTGTAAGAGGGGGATCAAGTCTTCAAATGTGTGTGAAACCTTCTAATGCGACATAAAAATGGGGGGGGGGGTGAAATAAATTTAATCAGGTCATGACTTTATCAGCATCAAAAAACTAAATGATTGAATCTGATAAGTGATTTCCTGAAATTTTGTAGACAAGATTTATCATAGAAATTGTATTTTGCCAAAAATAAGTACATTTACCAAATAAAAGTACAAGTACTGAAGTAAGCTCCAAATTATTTAGATTGAAGTACATATACATGTAGTTGCATCCTACCTTTCCAACTGTGAACGACTGTCTGTTTACATTCCTTTAATTTTTTCAGTTTCCCAAATACTTCTAGAAAGTGCTGGCTGTCTAAGTAATCAGTAAGTTTTTTCAAGTCAACTTTTTCCACTGCAAAATAAAATGTCACCAATGATTCTGCAATACATTAACAAGACTGACTTGCTTTTACATGATAAAGGTTGGTGTTGAGCTAGTAGACTTTACATTTTTAATGAGAATGTTTGTGCTTCTTTCAACATATAACCAAGTATTAGATCAATACTTACAGGGTGTCCCAGAACTCATGAGAATTTTTTGAGGGAGATATAAGGCATGAATGATTTTTCTTCAAATTAAGTGCATTTAATAAACAAACATTGAGGAATAACTGACATGAATGTCAGGCACATATCTTTTATATTTCCGAATTTATTGACATTTGAATTCTACATCGCCACAAACCCCGGAGTAGTCAGTTTCCGGAGTAGTCAGTAGTCAGAGAAATACAACAATTTACGTCACATTTTGATAATATTTACACACTTTCTCCACTATAATAGTATTGTGTTCATTGAATTATTTCGGCGTTTCGGTACATTAGTTAATAGGATCATACACATTCAGCTAACGTAACTCTATAGAGTTATTATAGCATATTATCTGCAGTAGATGTATTTTCAGCTACTCTTTATATACATTTCCAAATCGTTCTATGGCCATTTCTGTAGGGTCCCCTGAAACAACATGACTCAATTCTTCCTCCGTTTCAGTGACATGGCCAACTTATCTTTGTTTAAGGTCCCCAAAGAAATGAAGTCTAGTAGAGCAAAATCTGGCAAGTATATGGAGCTACTATATATACTGTAAAGTCTCAATAGTAAATTGGATGCACTGCTGACATGCATGTAGTGACTTATTCACTGGTGCATTGTCAATATGCAAGATCATATTGGCTAGCAAATGGGGACATTTCTTTCAATCCCTCAGGAACATGTCATTATGATCTTTCAGCAAACCATATGTTCAATCCGTTGATGTATTGGGTCTCTATCAAGATTTATATATCGTTTTATCAAAGTGCATCATCAATATGAGAAAAATGCACAACTGAGCTTATACAAAAAACGTTGGTTTTATAGTTGAGAATTTGCATAAAATTGACAAAATGTGACAATAACTGTTGTATTTTCCCGACAACTCCGGGGTTCGTGGCGATGTAGAACTCAAATGTCAATAAATTCAGATTTATGAGACATGTGCCTGAAATTCATGTCACTTATTCCCCAAAGTGTGTTTAATAAGTGTACCAATTTGAAGGAAAATCACTCATGCCTTATATCTCCCTCAAAAAAGTCTCATGAGTTCTGGGACACCCTGTAGTTGTAACAAGACACAGATTGAACATTATAGCACCCTGAAATAGAAAATAAACATTCCTGAAAATTTCAGATAATAATCCCTCAAAATACAGTTTTGCTGGAAACCTGTAGACAAGCCTCGACAGAGAAGATTTTAGGATGGAAAATCCAAAACTTTAACATTTACCTGAAATGCCCAGAAACTAATCAGTTCTAGATTTCATACGTAGAAACATCCCTGGATAATTCAGATGAATCTCTTAAATGGTATGGCTGTAGACAAGCCTTGACAGAAAAACATTTGAAACGATACGATTAATTTTTGATATTCAAGTTGAAAATCAATACAAGCTTGTATCTTGACCAATTGCTAAAGCAAACAAGGGATCCCTAGAAACAATCCCTGAATATTTAAGATAAAAAAACCTCAAACAGTTAGGCTGGAAACCTGTGGACAAACCTCAATAGAGGATTTTAGGATGGAAAATCCAAAATGGTTGCCTTTAACATTTACCCAGAATGCCCAAAAACTAATCAGTTCTTTCATACGTAGAAAGATGCCTCATTTAAGATGAATCCTTCAAACAATTTGAATGAAAACCTGTAGACAAGATAAATCAGGACACCTGTCCACCCACCCGAATGCCCGCCTACATGCCTCCCTAATAATCACATATTTCAACTTACACACAGCTGAATCTTCAGATGACTTCTCTACCCTCTCCAGGCTGATGTTTTCTTTGAGAGAGCTGTTCCACAGGGCTACTTGCTTGCTTATCTTTCTTAATGAGACTACATTCTCAGGAACTGCTGTTGTAAAATCGAGAAATTGAATGTACTTGTCGAATGCTTGGAGATAATTTCTTAACGTTTGAAACTTCATGGTTTGAGAGTGTTCAACATCATCTAAATATTGTTCAATATTTGCATAGTTTTTTAGAATATCAGTCAAATTTACATAAGTCATATCTTTTGCTATGTAGCTTAGAAGGACTCCAATTGGATAAGCTTCCTTCTCTGCAGCCTTCATTTCTTTTCTACCTCCGTTACGGCTTGTGCGCCATTGGATAAAATCGTCCTTCGTTTTCTGTATTACTTTGTGCAATCTTTCAATTTTTCGATTCTTTGGCTTTTCTATTTTCACGACTTTGCATCCAGATAAATAGTCCTGGTAATCTTTGCTATCATGTAGAAGGCCATGATCCCTGAAAAATTTAAATAACAATTCTTAAATAATTGGGCAGTATGATCTCACTCCTAATTCCTATCACAAAAATACATTATTCATGAACAAAAAGATCTGTCCATAACTAATAACTAGTTCACCCTTGGTATACGCAGCTGACAAAATGGACCGGTACGGGTCAAAAGCTGGACTGGTACGGTTTTGTCAGTTGCGTATACCAAGGGTGTAGTTTGCCAGCCCAAATATTTCATCCATTTGGTTTATGGAAACACAGAATGACATCCTGGGTTAAGTTTTATCGAAACAAGTATTCAACTTATGTCACATGTTTTATATTATATTCCAGGTCATCCAATGGTGAGTTCTAAATACTAAAAAAGACTAAATAATAAAAAACTGTAAATACTAAGTTCGCAGAAAAATCCTCTCATTTCAAAGGTTTTTAATATTGTTTCAGGAAATTTTTACCTATATCTTGTTATTGAATCGTGATGTATCAGCAACTCTTGTTTGATTGATTAAAACTAATTGCTGATTCCTAATATAATAACTTGACTTTTATGTAGGTGGGGCACTTTAAATCACACAATTTGCAATTACAGAAAGCAATGTTTGCAAACGAATGTTTATTTATGTATATTTTATTTGTTCTTATATTTAGCTTTCACAGATCAGAGGTGCCATTAGATTCTGTGTCCTTGTAGCTAATGAAAAAGTTACCTCAACAGATGCTGATCTATGCGCTGTCTCATTTTGTCACACCAAATAACAGGACACATCTTATATGGCCTGGCATCTGTTTTCTTGTCAGTGGATTTTCTGCTGTAGAGCTTGATTATCTGTTCCTGTGTGAGCTCTGACTTTCTGAAAACCTTTTTATGCACCTGGCGGTAGTGCCTTGGAACGCCAGTTGTCTTGGCTCCACAGAGAGGGCAGGCTTTTAGGCGATGTTTATAGTATGTCTTATTTGTCGCCTCATTGTCTGACCTAAATAAACATTAATGTGTACATGTCATTATAATATAGAACAGCAGAAACTGACGATAGCTTGCATGTGGCTGTGTGTATGTTAAACCTAATATAGTGCAGCACAAATTCACCTAAACACATAAGGTAAACATTATAGGAAAGTTCAGCACAAAGAACAGATTATGTGATCTAAATATGTGCAAATAAAAAAGATAGTAACAAATTGATGGTCACTTTTCATGTGCATTATTTAGAATTTATAAGAACTGGAAGAAATATATGTTAAAACACTTTAAACTTGTGTAGAACAACAAAATATTAAGGACAGTCAAATTTTAGGGAGAAATAGCATGAAACAAACATTTAAGCAGATGAATATATAACCTCATCTTCTTACCTTATTCTTGTGGTGGTCTTGTGAGGGTTGTCCTCCATGTTGTCAAGCTCCAGTTTGTTTTCAATAATATCTTCATCAATTGTGTTGGGTGTCTGAGCTGTTCTTGGTACACTGCCAGATCTAGGCAAACCGCCACCAGGTGTCACACTACTTGATTGGCTAGATGGTTCATTTTCTGTGCCATCATGACCCTAAAAGATGGACAAATTTTAAAACTTTAATGCTACTACTGTAGATTGGGTTTATTTGGCGCTATTTAATTTGGCGATTTTGCCATTTTTGGCACATTGGCGGCTATTTAATTTGGCGGATATGCAAAAAAATGTTAATGCAATATTAAACTTTCGCGCTGTTTGCGAATTACCATGTAAATGGGCATGTTTGCCTATGTTCAATTTTTCTTTTGAGGACCACTGACAATATTCACCACGTTTGTACATTTTTGTGAGATCATCCTTTACATTTTGCACCTGAATCGATGCTGCTACTATACCGCGATTTTCCTTCCTAGTTTTTCCCTGAGTATTAATGAGTGACTGACCAGTTCTGAGCCAATTTATGAGAGACTTTTTTCATATTTTTGGAAAAAACTAAACCGGAAGTGACCTAAATACACTGGACGAAATAGCCAAGATAATTCCCGGGGATTCATTCTAAGTTTTGGCGAAGATTTATATTGGCGAATTTTTCAATTTCGCCAAATTCGCCAAATTAAAGCGGGCGCCAAATTAACCCAATCTACAGTATCTTATAAGTATTATTAGATATATAATAAGCATATACTGTGTATCTAAGGTACTGTATGTCCATATTAAATAAACTAATTTATGTCTGCCTTTTTGGATAATTGTAATACACCATTCAAAAGTTTTTGTGAGACCCCCCCATGTGGGGAGGGTAGGGAAGTCCGGGGAGTGAGGTATCTGCTTTGCATATGCTGGGAGTGGATTTGTTTCATACAGTATATACACTTTAGGAAAGTCATGATTTGCAAATGATCGGTAAATTCAGTGAACTAAAGATCTCATGTCAAGAACAGATGAAAATACACTCTGATCCATCACTATTTTGCCATTATGACCCTATAGTAGATAGACAAATAGATAGCTTATATCAAAGGTACCAGTATATCCATTCATAACTAAGTTTTGTCCACCATTTTGGATAACTGTAACAGTGAAATAACTTTTAAGCCCTTGGCTCAAAATATTCACTTTTAATATGCTTACCTCAGATTCTTCTCCATGATCTGCATCAAGGATTTCAATACTTTCATCTATTGTGTCAGGTGTCCGAGCTGTTCTTTGCACATCGCCAGACCTAGGCACACTATCACCACGTGTCACACAACTTGATAGGCTAGAAGGTTCACTACCTGTGCCATTATGACCCTATAATAGATAGACAAAATAAAACCTATGTTATTATCTTTATTAGTTTATGTGACAAAATATATGGAATGTCAATTTTTGGTCAAGCTTATAAAAATTTTGTCCACCATTTTGGATAACTGTAACTGTGAGGCAATTTGTAAGCTCTTAGCTAAAAATATTCGTTTAGAAGGTTCACTACCTGTGCCATTATGACCCTATAATAGATAAACAAAATGAAACCTATGTTATTATCTTTATAACTTTGCTTTGAAAAAAACTTGGAATTTAGATTTTTATTGGTTAAGCTGAAATCAAAGGTATATCCATATTGAACAAATTTTTGTCCACCATTTTGGATAACTGTAACTGTGAGGCAATTCGTAAGCCCTTGGCTCAATTATTCACCCCTAATGATTACCTTCGATTCTTCTTCATGATCTTGCTCAAGGTTTTCAATATCTACATCAACTGTGTCAGGTTGCTGAACTGTACTTTGTACAATGCGAGACCTTGGCACACTGTTACCACGTTTTACACGACAAGATCGGCTAGAAGGTTCACTACCTGTGCCATTATAACCCTAAAATAGAAAGACAAAACTTTAATGTTATTATCTATTTAAATTTTTATTGGTTAAGCTGAAATCAAAGATGTATTAATATTGAATAAATTTTTGTCCACCATTTTCAAAATATTATTCTTATATGCTCACCTTAAATTTTTCTTCATAATCTTGATCAAGAGACTGAGTTTTTTGGCATCTTCTGTGGCTCAGCTCAGAATCTCCTTTGGTATCAAAGGGGTCATCGGTTATTCCATCAGAATCTGAAGTAAGCATTCAATATATGTCACATATGAATACATCTTATTCAAGCCCATTATAGTTCATCATTATAATTCATCTACTGTAGATACACTTAATTTGGCTGCCGCTTTAATTTGACAGATTGGCGGATTGAAAAAGTTCGCCAAATTAAACGTATAAGTAAGAGTAAACGTATAAAATATAAACAACAATATTGGTCCAACGGTATTTGAGTTATTGCCCCGATGGACATACGGATAGAGGGACATAAGTACAGACTGAGCCATTCTCTATATCCCCCCATTTTAGAGGCAAAAGTTTCAATCACAATAATATACAGGGTGTCCCAGAAGTAGTGATAATTATGCTCTAAAACTTTTATTTGAAAGGGGATCAGTATGATATTCACCCAAATTAAAGATGAAGATGTAAGCTTTATTTTGCTATATTACATTCATTACTTTACACATAAATATTCCATTTATGGTTGCCATAACAACCCATATGTGCGTTTTGCGGAGCAACTTAGTTCAAACATTATTGAAAAACATTTCTTGTTTCCCTGCTGTTTACATTACTACAGTAGTATTGCTAATTTATTCCTCATACTGTACACCTCCTTGGGAATTCCTTGGTTCCGTTCCTTAGAGTTTTCCTTTTTAACACCATACATGGCATCATCGTGGGAATGTTATGCCACATTATCAGACCAAAGTGAAAATCCTGTCACAATGAGGTAAATCATCAAATAATATTAAAGCACTATGCCACCATGCAACAACATCCAACCACCATAAAACAATTTAAAAGATTCAAATATCATCCCAGATTAACTGTTTTTCTACACTAGTTTGAACATTTATAATATAGTGAAAATGCTCCGCAGAACGCACATACAGGTTGCTATGACAACCATAAGTAAAGTGTTGTTGTGTCTAGTGATAAATGTGATATAGCAACACAAAGCCTACATCTTGATCTTTAATCTGTGTGAATTTCATATTGTTTTATCACCACTTCTGGGACACCCTGTATATTTTCTTAATAAGGGAAGTCAGTACTTTCAAACTGTATGTTTATGTTTGTGGCAGAGTACTGGACAGCGACACTTCATTTTTTGGAGCAGCTCAGGGAATGTAATGACTATTGCCTTATTATGGCATGTTGATGGATGTATCACCTACATTTTTATAGGTGAATACTTGGCATGGAACTTTCCAGTCAATTATCAGGGCGATGCCACAAATACCAAGAACATATCAAAAAGAGGCCTCATTAATTAGGCCTAATTAAAGCAAACAATAGGTAGTACAAAAACAGTAACTCAGCTGATTGACTTATCCCACTAAACAAATACTATTTTATCAAATCACTTTGAAATAGAAATGGGCAGAAGTATCTCATTTTGGCAAAAAACTACATCTGTGACATATTTATGTTCAAATTGTAGCCAAAAATGTCCATATGTTAGATTGGAATGGCAGCAATTTTGAATCATATGGCCATATTCAAATTTCTTCTTGAGCAGGGATCAATAAGGCTAATGCCTTTAAAATTTGAAATTACCCAGTATATGAGTTACTGCCTCAGACAGATGAACGAATGGACAGCTTCTCTATATTTTAGTTTTACATTGTTCAGTGGGATAATGAAGCAACATTAAATTGACTATTCAGTTGATTACCTCCCAAGAGTACCTAAAAATATTGAATAAAATTTAAAGACTTTTTTCAAGTATTGATAGAAACAAAGAACTAGCGTAGCAAAATGCAACAAAATTAAAATAATTTCCTTGATTTTAGGTTACATTTAGCCTCAGATGCATGCCAAACACTCATAAAATGTAGCTGTAGCTCAACAAAAATATGCAAGATTGGAAAGTTTCACACTTCGTTCCATATTAAATGAACTATTTTTGCACTATTGATCACACTATAATACCATTGCTTGGAGTTCAACCTACACTTTTTCTCAAAAGTCAGAACACAAGTTTTAAGAAATTAACAAAAAATGTGAATGATCAATATATTTTCAAACATTGCATTATGCTTTTAGGAACCTAAACTGAAATTACAATAAATATACTTACAGTGTCTTTCCACTTAACATTGTGAAGCTGTGTCCCGCTCTGATACTCTATCATAAAAGTTTTCTTCTCTGAAAATTAATAGTTTCTTGTCAAGTTTTAAAGTAAAAGTTTCTCTGAATGCTTAATTGGGTGTACATGTGGTAGGTTTTAATTGATGTAAGAGTCAAGTAGCAGCAGAGAAGGTGGTAATAGAGGCAGGCCTGCTGAGCCATAAAACATAGCCAATAAGTAGTATTTTTATTCTCTATGAGGTCCTTAATGTTAATTTCTATCCACTTTGTCAACTGACATTTTCCTTCATACAGACTTTCAGTGATAAACAAGTATAACTATCACTAGGGAGATACAGTACATGTGTTGATTTTTAAAAATTGAGCAAAAATACTTACTTTTGTTAGTTTGTATCACAAACACTTCCCTGTTTCGCAGGTAAACAGTTTCACCACTCACAATCTGAAAAAAAATCATCAAATATGTAAACTGAAATCAGGGTTCTCATCAAGTAATAACTTGAAATGCAATTTCAAACTCACACAGTGAACTGCTTTATATAATAATAAGGTACGATATGTAACTATGGTGGGAAATGTAACTATGGATATTCATAAAATATTTATAATTATATGATGACATAGTGATGTTTAATTTCATAAATTATTATAGAAGCATGGAAGATAGTTGAAATCTAGTTGGAATTACGAGAAAAAGGAGTAGGAAGAATAAAGATGAAGAATATTGACAAAATCTATATGAGCTCCCCCCCCCCGCCCCATTGGGGCCTCCTGATAAATAATAATATTAACAAAATTGAAGGGAGGGCCCCCTAATTAAGACATTCATAAAGATAGAAAATGGTATCATACTTCACTATGTGACCTTTTTCTGCCCTGTATTCTTTCCTTTTTTACATCATAGTCACCTCCTAAAAGTGTAGATATTGAGACATGACTAATAACATTTTATCTAGTAGGCAGGAGAAAAGGGCATTATTATGCCTTCAGAGCATACTTTAAAAGTAATTAAAGAGGTATTACTCACTACACCCTATGCAGTCAATTGATTATATGTACATTTGAGCTTATTATTTTTATAATGTTTTCACCATTGCTCTGAGTATATTAGGGTGCAAAAATATTAAGTTTAGTGTCAAAATTGTTGCTTTCCCTTATAAAAAATCCGACCTTGAAAGACTGCAATTAAATGCACACAAGGGCACTTCAATGAGAATGGATTTCCTTATTTCAAGTTTTTCTAAACATGTTTGCCATATTCTAAATAGTTATAGGGTCACTTTTAATAAATGCCCATTGGCATGCATTTGATTTTGCATTTGAAATTAAATGTCTGTATGGACACCTAATTTAAAAGTTATTTGCCAACTTGCAGTTCCCATATTTGAAGCACAACTAATTCAGAGAAATCCCTTTTCAATATATATCATAAAATATAAGGCAGCATCATGTATAAATGGCATGACACTCAAAGGATTGCCACAAATAATGTCTACTTATTCCCTCTTTAGAAAAACACTTCACATGTTTTATATAATTAATATCACTAAATTCTATGTTTCAGAAAAAATAAAATGTTCCCATTTACTCTGTACTAGTAATGCATGTAAATGACAAATGGAATTGTGATCTTGGTTGGTAATTTCATTGCCGAGCATGATCGACTGTGGTAAATCATGGTATCAGGTTTATATTAAACATGGTGTAATGCTTACAGTTACACTGCAGCATGTAAAATGTCATTTGTAATGCAAAAGCTCATTTTCTGATATATATCTTTTTAAATAAGCTCGTTCAGTATGATTTGTGGAGTTAAAAAATGCATGACAAACACCATCTTCTTCTTCGCAACTGTCTCAATTGTCAGCATAGCATTGTAGTAGTTGATTAGTTCAATCAATTTACATTCTAGATAGTGTGTGATTTGGTCATTTCTTAGCATTCTGTATTCAGCAATTGCTAAAACATGATTTTGACTCCTGTTGTAATCGAAATGTTATTTTAAGACAAACACTCATTTATGTGAAATGAATTATATATCGTTTTGTTGGAAATTGAATTGTCTTTCCAGTGATATATGATTTAATCATTTGTCTGTAATATTAAAAACGTTGT